TGATTTAAATGACTGATATCTCAACCAATTATACTTTTGATATATGATTTAAATGCCTGATTTGTTAATTGCGAAAATAGACCGAACATGGTCTGATTCCATCCATCACTTGGTATAAATAAAAAAGTCATTTTTATATCGTCCAGGCTTCAACGTAATGTAATGCGCTAAACGCCGATCTCAAACGTACTCAGACAACCAATTTTACTTTGGATAAACAATATTTAAAATAAGCCCATAGCATAAAATGATTGAAATGACTGATTGTTTTAATTATGACAATAGGCCGAACATAGTCTGATTCCATCGTTTATCAACAACATGTATTAATTATTAGTCAGTTAGTATGGCCAAAAGCATTGTCAACTATATTTCGAGATAATGTTTGCGATATGAAATCTGTGAAAGATTCAGTTTTCCATCGGAGATAATACGGAAAATAGTAGAATATTTGTCATTATCCACAAAAAACAAAACTTTAATCGTATAGTCCTAAAAAATGGTTTCTGCATGGAGGTACATACAGGCATGCGGTTGATTATGCAAGTATTATAGAACCAAATAATGAAATAAAGTCTTCTTGTCTTTGCGTGCAACTGCAACAGACTGAGAGGTTTCAAGAATTTCTCGATAATATGAGTTTATTTCTTCATGTATTTGAATGAAGTTTGTTTGATGTACAAATCTTTCCCCACCCAATGTTGAAGTACATTTGTTCATTTTCAGATGGAAAAAAGAATATCCCCGCTATTCTATCATACGAATTAAGGTGTAATAATTAGAAATGACCAAATATGTCAGCATTTTTCAATCTACGTGGATTCCGTGAAAGAACACGTAAGGTACGGTTTCAAAGTATGCTGAAACGGATATCTGCTTATGCATTGATACATGCGCGGCCTTGACAGAACAAACCTACTAACCCACATACGTGGGCTACTAACCTAGATACGTCTAGCTAATTTGCATAAAGTTGAAGCAGTCTGAATCCACGTTTTTGCTCTAAACTGGCTGTATAAAAATGGAATTTATTAGTCTTTAACTCTGCTGTTGATTGATAGACTTAATAAATAAGACCATGGTTTTGCTCGGAACAATAGCTTTCCGATGGTTCCACTTTTGTAATGACCAAATTACGAGAAAATGGGAGAAATAGAGAGTAAAGGTGATTTCTCGAATGCCAAGTTTCACTGAAGAAATGCTGCGTTCTGATTGGCCGACTTTCTTGCAGTCCCAATCCACTTTAGCTCCCCAAACTCACATTTTACAGAAATGACATTTATAGTTCTTTTTCTCCGCCATTTCTCGATCGATTTCTAAAAGCATAATGTCATAGTGAAGCTTACATTTTCAGTTTCCCGATGGTATCACTTTTGAAGCCATCCACGTGCGATAAGTAGGTGAAATTTGAACGTGAAAAAGTTTCTCGATAATCGAAGATTCACTTTAAAAATACTGAGGAATCTGGCATTCTGATTGGTCAGTTTCCCTGCATTCTCAAGCCACTTTTCCGACTCCAAACTGAGTTGTTAAAAATGGCACTGATGCACTTATTACATACATCTCTCGATTTTGTTTCACATAATGACTAAAATCTGAAACTGATATACTTGAAACGTCAGTGTAAAGGATGAATCAAATCCAAAATTATTCAAGAAGACGAGGTTATATATAAAAACGATAAAATAAAACTAAAAACCCGTCTGGTTTTAATTAATTCTCGCCTCTGAATGTCTGAAGAGAACCTAAACCCCAAAGTATTTTGCTCAAAATAAGTGAAATTAAAAATATTATTATTAACTTAATTAAAACCCACGGGAGTAATTGTATAGTTTCTAAATAGCTGAATAACGCTGACATAATAAATGTCACTTTTGTTTGTCTTTGACTTTACTTGGGCAAGACTTCCATTCACTTCAATGCTAGAAACGTGCAATAGTCAATTAATTTCATGATTTATCAAAAAGTGTTGGTTGAATCTGTCTGAAACTCGAATGACATACTATTGGATGGCCCTGTCAAAATTGTCAATACAAGATGGTTGTCATACAAATTAGCCAAGGTTTGAATGAATTTTAGCACTGCACCAATGGAGCTTTGGCCCAAGTTTTTTCAAATGTCATAGAAAATGATTTAAATGACATAACTGTATAAACTAAAGCTATTATTGGAGAAAACGTGTCACTAAATTCAAATATGCTATCAAAATTAGAGATAAAAAGTGCAAATCTCTTAAAATCGCGACATGAAAAAACGAGAGTTAGCAAGATTTCAAAGCTATCTAGAAACTCTAGATCTTCTATTGCACGCAGTAGAATTTAAATGCACGCAAGTAAATTGTTATTTTATATATGTTCTTCTGATGCCATCTCTATATTTAACATTGCCGAAATTATGTACAAGGGAGGTACTGTATATTGTTGCAATTCACAATTTCAGGTATAATGGGCGGTAATCGGCCCTTGTGCCCTGGAGTATAAATAAACGATATCTAGGACAAAGTATTTCATATTATTAAATGTAAACCCCTTATTCATGTAAAATACTTTAACATTGTACTTACTGCAATATGATACTGCAATATGATACTGCAATTGAGCCCATCGTCTCCACTGGTAGGGTAAAACAGGTTAATTGTATTAAATAAACACAAAACTAAATAGTGGATTCTTTATATTTATAATCATTCAAACACTGTTTATTACTCGTGCATTTAATCATCTTAGCGTTTGCATATTCTTTGACAATATTGTCTGTAAATCCAGATCCCCTAAACGTATACGTATTGCTTGCTATACTCATGAAGGAACAAATAATTTACCCAACGAAATATACATATTGTATCGCCTTTTATAATGTTCATGGACGACGTTAAAATCAAATAAACTAAGGAAATGGTACGTTAACTCATTTAATGTTTGATTTGTTTAATACATGTAATAAGGCATAATGTAGGCCTACTTAGCTACCGCAGCGTCCATCGTACAAACACGAAAACGGACGCTCTTTATCAATGATCAGTTCGCATTTCTACATCCAAAAGTATTTTATTTTTATTTTCAGTTTATGCATAATGTGTAATGTCATTTCTATATATTCACATGGATTATATTTATAAATACATGTTTTACATTCTTACAGTTAATTTCATGTTTCAAAAACGTTAATAGCGCAACAATTTCAAGACAACAGTAAGCGTTCTAAAATGCTGAAAATCATATGCGTTCAAAGTATAATAAGAAATACACTCATTTACAAATAAGTGACTTTGGTATATTTGCGACGAATTACTTACAAATCAACGTTTATAGGGACAACATTTTGGGCCAATATTAACGAAATCCTTGAATGCCAAGCTTGTTAATAAGCATTAATTTTTCGATATTGTAAGATGCCCAGCGTTCGTAAAATATAACTACATTGTATACTGTATATGAGGAATAGATCAGGTCGAATTATTTTTAATGAACAAAACAAACATTACGTTTCATTCATATCCATGCATATTTTATTTCCAATACACGAATTTCAAGTATTTACTTCATTTGCACACTAAATTACGTTAACAGATACAATCTAACAAACATCAGCGTTGCAAAAATACGAAAATTACGTGCGTTCATAGCATAAAATAAGTTACCTCAGTTAGTTTGCAACACAATTTGTTTAATTACTTGACCAATAACGTATTATTCACCATTTATGGGGACATTATTGAATCTACTATATTCGGGCCGATATTCCATTAAACCTTGCCAACTTGGTTAAAACGCATTTACTATACGATGTTGTAAGATACCCAGCGTCTGTTAAATTAACTTAAATCAAACTGAGTCCGGGTCGATTTATTAAGACCGATCTAAACAAACATAAATAAATAAGAATAGGTTATTCATTCTCAGTTAATGACATATTTCCCTGTGTATATAATCGCGTTATTTTGGGCCGATTTTGGGCCGATCTTGGCACTTTAGCGACATACTTTTTCCCATCGGCCGAATCGGCCCAATGGCACTCAAAGGGTTAATGACCCCCTGATAAATTGATAAATGTAAGAATCGTGAGAATCGGGTTGATGAAATGAATATTTTTGTGATGCTCATCATTTATCATCTTCATTACAGTAGTCATGTTTTCATTGAAATGGATACTTGACATTATGATATTATTCATGACACGATAACTATGTCTCTAAAATTAAAGTTACATGTACTTGATATGAGAATGACACAATATACATTTCTTTGAAATGGGTACTTGACACAATAATATTATTCATGACACAATAAACATGTCTCTAAACTTAAAGTTAATCCCTGTCAGACAAAGTTATTTGTTTGAATTTCAAGGAAAAACATAGTTTATCATTCAACCTTAGTTTAAAAAGTATATGGGGATAAGATAAGCTATTAGAATATAAATTATATTTTAAATTTTCATCTGAGGAACTTTTAATAAAAAGAGCATTACTTTTTTTTGTCTACCTACACATAAAAAGATGTTATCTACCAAGTATACAATAGCAGAGGTTAAAAAATCGTGAGAGTTTTTCGAATGTCATTATTTAAAAATAACACAGAGGTATGTGGGAGTTAAGACATTTTAACCCCTTTACAAATATCCTGTCATAAAAGATCAGTTAATAAAAAATTCCTTTTAAATTTATAAGATGCAGCGTTTAACATTGACTCAAATTCGCGATGTCTATATACATATATGACACACCCAAGATTTGTTTAGTACTTTGATTTTATGTTATGAGAAAAATGTGAACATTGGCTATTTATTTCAAAGGGACCAAATACCAAATGGCAATTTGTTCAACTCAATCAAAAGTAAATGTTTTCTTCAAAACTTAAATGGTTTACTTAATTTTATTTGCCAAATAAATGTGTTAGTCTTAATTTTAGTGAGGATTCAAAAAATAAACACAATTAAAGAAGATAGATGTTATTTTTATTATCAAAATGTCATTAGACATTATTATTATGTATTTTCAGAATGCCTTGAGATTGTTGCTAAAATGGGGGAGTCGAGTGACGGGGCTCAGATTACAGTCGTTGATGTTGCAGACATCTTACAAGATGGCTACGTTCTTATTACAGGTAAAGTACATTTGCTTGATATAATATACAGTAAAACCTGTGAAGTAGAACAACTTTGGTACCTCCAAAAGGTGTTCCACTTTGGAGGTATTCCACTTAGAGATTCATATAACATTATGTGAGTTGGTCTTGGCGGACTCTGAAAAGTATTCTGCTATCAAAGGTGTCTCACTTCTAGGGGTATTCTACTTCACAGGTTTCACTGTATGTATCGTGTTATTACCCTTAGGATTAATTATAGACTAGTAATAATCGCTACCCTCTGTATAAGGCAATATTAATACAGTTTCGTTGTTGATGAAATCTCAATAGCTCCTAAAGGAGCTTTCATGAAACTTGAGAAATTAATTTTTGCCAATTTCAGTAAAATCTATGTACAGTGAACACCTCTCGGAGCCACAAAAGTCTTCATTGTAGGTCTGTATTCACTACAGGGTCGATTTTATACAGAAGCCGGTGGAGTATGTGCTGAGATGTTGCTATAGGTGTTCATTTTGTAAAATTAGTTCAAAATGGCATTTCATATTAAATGGCAGTCTCTTGTTCATAGACTTCAGATGAAGTTGTCTTTAAAATGGGATGGCAAGCCTTTGAAGAGTTTTCTTATTTCACAGGTGGGAAGACCAGGGGTGGCCATACCATACTGAGTTTCCCTGACAACCCCTCTAAGCCTGAACTCAGTGAAGAACAGTACAAGAGATCTATTACATACCTAACTACAGTCCCTGCGTAAGTACCCTTGTATTACAACATGTAATCCCCAGTCTCCCATTGGAACCCCTTAGAACATAATGTGTAACCCCCAGAGTGAAACCCTATAGAGCTTGAAAAATATGTTTTTACATAAGTTGAGTATTACAAATTAAAAGCTTTTTAACATAACTGTAATACGCATACTCTATTTATGAAGATATTTAAACTCATTAAAGTTAAAGTAACTTTATTCATTGTAATTACCTATAGCTACTTGAGGTAATTATAAATCAATTAAGTTGGTGATTAGAGGTGCAAAGGTCGCTTCACTAACAAACTATATGAAATATACAACTAGCAATACCCTTAGAATGCAACATGTAACCCCCATATAATAATCAAGCATTTTTATTTGGCATGAGCTCAGTCTACTTTCAGTTTTCAACTGTGAGTAATTTTAATTTGTATTTCTTTGATTAGCACTTTTGTTGACAACTTTTATGTATAGTTTGTACATATTCTAGCTTGCTTTTGTTGTCTGCAGATGGTGCTATGTGCGATTATCATGCATGGTGCAGATTTAAATGTTTTGAATTTGAAATTGCGATATTTTATAAACTAAGCTGTGTGTTGTTTTCAGTTATTATTTCGGAGTAGTGACATGTTATAGTCTCCTACTTTTTGTGGATGGTGTTTCAACCGTCATTGTTCAACGGTTGGCGTTTGGCATCTGTAACAAATTCTTCAACTTCTTATACCAATTAAAAAGTACTGTACTGTTAAGACTGACTTCATTTTTTACTGTCAACATATATAAACATTTTATGAGTTCCAATATACTTCTGCATATATCTGTTACCAATGGCAACAAATAAGTGGGCTTGTAACATTTTGTAATAATCTGCAATAATTTAAGAAGTAATGTAGTGTTCACATGGATCAGACATTTTTTAAGTTTCTGGCACTTCAATATTTCGTCTGATCTTTCCCAACATTAAAAATATCACTTAAGACTACCAAGCATGTGTAATTTAACGATCGAAGTTTGGTAGGGATATAGTGACGCCCTCCCCGTCTGTTCATCTGTCTGTCCAGAAGATAACTCAAATACTAGTTAACAGATTTGCATCAAAATTGGTGAAATGATGTATATTGGTGAATAGTTTTATGCCATTTCATAAAATTTAAAATGGCAATAATCCACAACATTATACTATATTAGATCTCAAATATTGTAAATTGTCTTTATGATTTGTGCCTTTGAAACTCCTTAGTGGTCACCCAAATGCTTAAATTGGAAATTCTGATATATCTCTACTTTAATATCTGCCAATTAAGCTAATTTTGTAAGTGCCTTACTGGCATCAGCCTCCTACACTTAAAGATACCTTAGAACATGAGCATATTTACTGATGTATCTTTCTTATCATAACTTTGATCATCAAACTAACTGAAACTATACAATTGAACAATTTTGGAAAAACTTTCAGGATAACCTTACCTCTGTTCATTGAAGTAATTGTACACATCATAGGCAGGTGTTATTTTAAGTTGTCGTTCAAAATAAGCAATGTGACTATTTTAGTAGAATTTTTAGGAAAACCTTATTAAAGTGATTTATAACAGTTTTAAAAATGAAGTGAATCTTTATATAATTTCTGATAAATATTGAATCTTAGATCTATTATCTCCCTTTTTTTACAGTTAGTTGTGACATGCAGGTTAATCTTTGGTGAGCATGGGTAATCTAAACATATTAAATTATATTCAAGAATATTCTCTTATCGGTTTGAATCAAAATAAGCGATGAAGTAAGATATACATATTTCGGAAAACAAAAATTGTCAAATTTAAAAGAGAAATTTATTAGACCTGAAAAATATAGCAAATATGTTGATTCAATAAAGTATGATTTACTAAAATAAGATTTTGAAAGTGCCCAAATGGCACATAAAAATCCCTTTCCATGGAATATTTGTAGTTAAATACTTAAGACGGCTTGGTTTATGAAACATCATGATGAATCCGCACCATACATGCATAATTGTGTATGTATCTGCACAGAGTATTTTTTGCAAGCACCATCTGCTTAGGATGGATGTGGTACATATCATTTGGCAATAAACTGTGGTAATTTTAAATCCGTCATTCTTTTTCTTTTGAGTTTATCCTTAGTATATACCGAGTTTTAGAACTTCAAATGCAATCAAAAGCAGTTCAAGGAATCATTAATTTGGTGAAAAGATGAACATTATACTAACATATAATAAAATCTTGTGCTGCTATGACCACTTAAATCTGGTCTTATCTTGGAGGTTTTCAAGATTTAAGATATTCATATTTAGCGAAATTCACATTTAGATATCCGATATAGACATCTCAAAAACTAACACTTGTACTTTTTATATGTGAAATAAAGAAACATGAGAATAAGAAGCCTGATCACCACGACGTGCCATGTGCTTTATATATTGTTATTGTTTTCTGTACACATGCTTCACCCCACCCCCATTTGTAATGGTATAGTATAGAGTATTTTTTAGTATATTTTGATTTTAAAATGTAGATCTTTTATATTAGGTATAGCTGGCTGGTATTTTAATTTTGTATTATGCACAAAAACATTGCAATTTAATTATCTACCCATCAAATCAAGGTCAATCAAATCAGTATATGGAGTCCAATGGAGTGACTTAAGTATTAAGGAAATAAAGGAAATGAAGAGACAACCTACTGATCCTCTTTTAAATCCCTTTCTTAATGTTTCATAGTTAAGCTTCTTCATGTGTCAGTTTATACCAAAATTTATAATTGATACACACTCAAAAATGCACAAATAACCATGGATTTATTGCTCTGTATATGATATGTAGAAATAGTCACCATGGTTGATGACTAATGTGGCCTTTGGGACCTTACATTTAGGAGCTTACATATTAGTCATAAGACAACACGAAAATCATTTATAAAATATTCACTAACTCATGTCAAATCAGAAAATATTCAATGGAATTAAACATCTGAAGCTAGACTAGCTGTTTTATCTTGAACATTCAAAGCCAAGAAAAAAATCAATTTAGAAGAAATTTCTTTCAAAGAAAGAATGCAATCAATTGAAGGTCACATCGGTAAACAAATTTATAGAAGCATTAATCAGTATACCAACATCTTTATGAGCAATTTGCCTTTGATTGGATAGATAAAATCATGTGACTAGTAATGCATGATGGTATACGATACCTCCATTGTATCATCCCATAAATGCTTAGATGTTATTGATCTCTGTTCAAAACAGATGTTAAAAGTACCATATACAAAAGAGGTATCTGTGTACCATCATGGGATGATCACATGACCAAAACTGGCCTATTACAGTAGAAATTTTGTCAATACACAGCACAGATTCTTGGGACTTCCCACCTTGTCTTGTTCATTTCGTGCACATGTATAAAGTCATTGCACTCTATGTATTTACAATATTTTAATAATATTAGGGTGATAAAGTTTTATTCTGTAGATATTAAAATATTGGGTTCACAGGCTTGATCTAGCACACGTTGGCCATTACCATAGTTTTCATCAACAGTAATTCTGTGTTAAATCTCAGTTGATATGAATAGATATACTGTAAATAGATGCCCATAAAAATTATACCAATATTATACTAATGAAGTTGTATCCTTACATCTTCTGTTCAGTGGTCCTTTGATAATCTATCTTGCCAAACCCTTTATTTATATCCTTAATATATATAGGGTCAGGCAAGGCATGAGTATGTATGCTAAATTTTGTGGAAATACATTAATTCTGCAACTTCTTTCAAATAGATATATTACTAAGTATGAAAGTAAGCATAACACGAGAGAAATTCTTAGGTTAGGGGATTAACATAATTGTAAGAAGATTCAGCAATATATCCAGGATATTATATAATGTGAAAAAATAACCCATGGGCATGTCTTGTTAATATTTAAGTACCTTTGTCTTGTTTATTTACTTCTGTGTTTGTTTTTGTTTAGCTCAGATTAATTTTTAATTCTAATATTTTATTTACATTTTGAAAAACAACGTATAACCCTCAACATTATTTTGGAAATGGAAATGTTGCCACTCCAAAATGTGATAGAAGTGTAACTTGTAATGGCCCCAGCTATGCAAGGTGTAACCCCCTTATCATGTCCTTGTAATGCAAGGTGTAACTCCCATATTTCTTTTGAAATGCAATATGTAACCCCATATTGCCCTTGGAATGCAACATGTCCCCATATTGCCCTTGGAATGCAACATGTCCCCATATTGCCCTTGAGATATAACATGTAACCCCCATATTGCCCTTGGAATGCAACATGTAAACCCCATATTTATTATTTATAGCCTTCCTGATGTTGAGCTGGGGTTTGTGATAGTCATAGACAGAAGACAGAGTGGTTCATCTTCAGTTAAAAACCTCCTCACTAAGATAGCAGTAAGTAATATTATGTAAAGTTCATATACATGTATAGTCCATAGTTCTCATATATCTGGAATCTGGTTGTTGAATTGGTTGTTCTTGAGTTTATTTTATCAGGCTGCAGATTAGGGTCCAGGTGAGTGATCGATCAACGCAAGAGTGATTGTGAAGATTTTTCTAATGTGTGAAAGAATTGCATCAATATTTTTGATAGAACTGGAGTTTGTATTTTGTAAAATATCACCCATAAATATCTTCTGTTTGCAGGCATTCTTCCCCGCTCTGATTGAGGTGGTGTTTGTATTGCGTCCAACAGGTTTTTTTGCCAGGACTTTCTCTGGTTGGGGATGGGTAAAGGAAGAGTTCAAATTCAAGGTAATAAAAATGTATAAAAAGTTAACATGACATGTATATATCTTTATAGAGAAAGCTTCAACATTGAGCGAAAGTTTCCTTGATGAGAAAGAAAGCTGCATTGTGATAGACTACAGTTGCTATGGCATTGTGTATCTACTAAGTTTGTTGTACTCTAGTGATTATCCTTTCCTGTCATGAAGGTTATCAGCGAAAGGTCCCAGTCAAAGACTGACATTAAGTTAAAACTTTTCCTGTTGATAAAATATTTTCCCAAGTTGAACTGCATAGTAAAACTTTCTGATCTGGATATGTATTTGAATAAATAGTAATAGGAACTCTTTTATAAAATATAGCATATTAGGCACATATCATATTATACAAATAATTTATTCTATTGAGTGAATCTTTCACAAGTGATATTCTATTAGGACAAGTAGAATACCACCTTGTGAAAGTGCCACATGTATTCACCAAAAATAGAATGAAATATTTGCTTTATAATGTTTTCTGCTAAAACTTCTGTTCATGCACCATGGTTATAATCTTGATATATACTTGAAATCTTGAAAATTCCCAGGAGTGGTGAATATATATTGCTATACATTTAGGTGGTGCTATGTACTGCAGTAGAAGAACTATATGATCATATAGAACCTAGTCAGCTAACAGACAATTTCAGTGGCTCTCTCAAGTTTGATCTCAGTGAATGGATTGAACATCGTGCGGTGAGTTTTATTTTTATTTCCTTTTCCAGTGTTTTCATGTGCACTAAGAATGGATTAATACAACTTGAAGATCAAGTCTTACTCATGCAGTGTCTGAGATGGTTCAAAACTGCACTGTCTTTGGAATGCAACATGTAACCCCCACATCACCCTTGAAATGCAAAATGTGACCCCCACATTGCCCTTGAAATGCAATTTGTAACCCCCATATTTCTTGCAGGCAATAGAGAAGTTCCAGGCCAACACATATCATGTTTCTAAGACAGTCACAGACATGGTGCAATTTTTCCAAGATGCTGAACTTCCCAATGATAAAGATGAAACTGAGGGTCTCATTCAGGTTAGTAGTAAGAGATAGGGTGTCAAATTGGCATCATTTTGACCCTGTTTTCTATTGAAAGCAAATACCAAACCATTACTATTGTACTATGTATTAATTTGAAGGATGATTTTGACAAAATTAATTTGAAATCAAAACATTAACCCCACAGAAAATGTTGAATGCTTTATAGGTGCTTAAAATGTATCATTAGTGTTTTAAAACACTTTTTATGAATTTGTTTTCTAGGAACATGAAAAAGAGAAGAAAAGTCTTATAGAGGACCTGTCCACTGCCAAGAATCATGGCCAGGTGTTATTAAAATGTATCGTCAAGGAGCACGAGGCACAGACTGAGGACCAATCAGCTGGTGCAGAACCAGGATCTGACAAAATGGTGCATATAAGGGCTGTTGAAAGGTGAGTTTGGTTATTGTGATATATTGTTTTAAAAATATTTTGAGAGTTATATAATTATACTAACTTCCAAAGGTCAATGATGAATTTCTTCAGGAACATGGTTAAAAATATTTCGTCAAGTGATATACTTTTGTTTGAGGGAAGGGGAGTCCTTTATAAAAAATTTGTTTTGAAGGGATTTAATTTGTGACAGAAATGTCCATTTATGATTGTGGTCATTTATATATTCATGAGATTTAATTGATTAATTCACTCTCTATGTATATGACTACTAGTATCACTCTTATGAGCTATATGTACCATCTGGTACATGTATGTACCTGTATTACACATTATGTACATGTACATGTCACATCTGGTACATGTATATACCTGTATTACACATTATGTAATGTACATGTATGTGTTACATCTGATACATATATGTTCATGTGTTAGACTCAAACAGATTGATTTTTACAATACTTCTACATTCACCGAATGTGCTACATCTTGTTTTGAAGTACAGGTTGTATGATTTTAAAAAATTGAAATGAAATTAAAATTTGAAAACATTTTATTTTATTTCACTACCACAGAAGTGTGGTGGTTTATACCACTTAAAGGATGTAACATATTATTGTAGCCTTCATTTTCTTTGATTTGCATTGGAAATAGGCATTTGGCTTTGGAATCTGTAACAAATTGTTACAGTTTTAATCATTTGCAGGTAGTGACGTTCCATCATGTTAATGCCTTGTTATAATTGTTGAAAATGGCATTTCCATATAGATTCCATATAGAAATGACAAGTAGGATTCAAATCACTTTCAAAAAAGTAAATACATGTATAACACTGTAAATAATCAATAAACTAATAGACATATCAAGAAATGATTTATACCAAATAGATTTTATAATTGTGAAAAATCTGTTTGTGTCTGAGTGTCTGATTACTCAGTCAGTCAGTCTCTTGGGTGGTCTGTTCATAAACAGCGTTACATTCAGACATTTAGTAGCTTATGCAACATTTATTCTTGCACCAGCTGGCAGCAGTGCTGATGTTCACTTATATAATATCATCAAATTAGGGCAAGATTATACATGGAAATAATATAATCATTATGCCTGATATGCACCCTTCCATTTAACAAGAATTTCACATTTTGTTTCCTAGTTGTGTATATATGGGAAGACTTCCAATATCTTGGCACGTGTGTAAAATGCACAGAAATACTGAATGAAATGAAAAATAATGTTCTTGTATTATGGAAAAATAGGGAAACTATTTAATTAGTCAATTAATTCAGCACAGATTGCAAGCATTGGTACAGGTATACTCTACGCATATAGGGAATTTGAAAAATCTCATATAGACCTTTGGAGTCCTTGGGATGATTACATTATAAGGACAATATGGGGCTCTCAAGTTGCATTCCAGGAGCAGTTGTGAAAGCTTAAAAAAATTATTATTTCATATAAAGAAGACTAACACAGGACTAACGAACTTTTGTGAAATCCAAATGAAAAGTGATAGAAAAGGACAGAGGGTTAGAGAAAAAACAATGAAGGGACTACAGTTTGAATAAAGAAACAGAAAATTTGGGAATTTGAAAGATAAATGGAAAAGACAAATGGAAGGACTTTAGACCATGGTATTGAAGATTTAGTGCTATGTGTCACAATTGCTGTCTTGTTACTGGCAGCTGCAACTTGGTATGATTAATCTAAAAATGATTTGTCTTCAGTTTTTCTTTTGGCGGAAAGTGCATATAAACCCCATATAAAGGCCTCTTCTATATACTTGACAAAAAACAGAAAACAAGCAAATGGACAATCAAGCAAACAATGCTGATGCAAAGGGCTGGCTAAGTAAATTAATAAATGACATATTTTATTGTATGCTTGTAGGTTGGTGTTACAGCTAGAAGAGGTTGACAAAACATTCACAAATTTTTGGACAAATCATGAACGGAGACTTCAGCAATGCTTACAGTTACGGAGATTTGAAGAGGAATTTAAACAAGTATGAACAACTTTGTACATAAGTGTATGGTTTCATTACAAGAGCATTTTAACAACACTCTTATTTGACTTGTATCAATTGCAACACATTAAGTAGTGGTCAATAATGTATGTTTTATATGAAATGTTGGTTAATATATTATTTAATTAATATACAATGTATATTTTTTATTTAGTTGATATATATGTATTATATTCTTGCGCTGTAGTAGGATTCAATGTGAGATGACTTGTCCTTTTTGCCAGATAATTTCTAATTTCAATTAGACTTACTTACTTCAATTTAATATTACTTTAACCCCAATTTAAGATACATGTATTGTTTAATACAATAATTCAATTCTAATAATTTGTGGCCAGTGAGATGAAAACTGATCAGATTGGTTGGGTACTGCTACAAAAAAAGAACTGGCAGAAAGACTTAATGTGCGAAATCAGACACTAGTCTGTTATTTTTATTATTAGCTCACATGGTGAGCTTTTGCAATCACTCACTTGTCTGTCTGTCTGTCCGTCCGTCCGTCTGTCTGTCCGTCCGTCAACAATAGTGGCACGTTTTAAAACCTCTGTCGATAGGATTCCTGTTTTAAGTTATTTCTGTTCAACATCAATACAGAAAACCCCCCTATGACTCCTGGTTCCAAAGATGGCTATTTTCAAAATGGCCGTCACTTTTGTCTCGCGAAATTCACTTTTAGCCCATTTCCTAGCTAACCTCTGTCGATAGGATTCCTGTTTTAAGTTATTTCTGTTCAACATCAATACAGAAAACCCCCCTATGACTCCTGGTTCAAAAGCTCGCCTATTTTCAAAATGGCCGTCACTTTTGTCTCGCGAAATTCACTTTTGGCCCATTTCCTAGCTTTACAAATAATTTCAGGTGTCCTACATTGTAAAAATCCATGTCAATGTAAAGATAAGATATATGAAATAATTTTGTTACAAAAAATCAGCGAAAAATTGTATCCATTTTTTTATTTTCAGCCATTTTAGTTAACATTGATTTGTCTATCTGACTCGCGAAATCCACTTTCTGTCAATAACAGTGGCACATTTTAAAACCTCTGTCGATAGGATTCCTGTTTTAAGTTATTTCTGTTCAACATGAATTCAGAAAACTCCCCTATGACTCCTGGTTCAAAAGCTCGCCTATTTTCAAAATGGCCACCATTTTTGTCTCTCGAAATTCACTTTTGACCCATTTCCTAGCTTTACAAATAATTTCAAGTGTCCTACATTGTAGAAATCCATTGCAAAGTAAAGAGTAGATGTATGAAATAATTTTGTTACGAAAAATCAGCGAAAAATTATATCCATTTATTTATTTTCAGCCATTTTAGTTAACATTGATTTGTCCATCTGTCTCGCAAAATTCACTTTTGGACCATTTACCTTAAACCCTCTGTCAATAGGATTCCCATTTTAAGTTATTTTTGTTCAACATCAATACAAAAAACTCTCCTATGACTTTTGGTTCAAAAGCTTGGCTATTTTCAAAATGGCCGTCACTTTTGTCTCGTGAAATTCACTTTTGACCCATTTCCTAGCTTTACAAATAATTTCAGGTGTCCTACATTGTAAAAATCCATGTCAATGTAAAGGGTAGATATATGAAATAATTTTGTTACAAAAAATCAGCGAAAAATTGTATCCATTTTTTTTTTTATTTTCAGCCATTTTAGTTAACATTGATTTGTCTATCTGACTCGCGAAATCCACTTTCTGCGGCACGTTTTAAAACCTCTGTCGATAGGATTCCTGTTTTAAGTTATTTCTGTTCAACATCAATTCAGAAAACTCCCCTATGACTCCTGGTTCAAAAGCTCGCCTATTTTCAAAATGGCCGCCATTTTTGTCTCGCGAAATTCTCTTTTGACCAATTTCCTAGCTTTACAAATAATTTCAAGTGTCCTACATTGTAAAAATCCATGTCAATGTAAAGAGTAGATGTATGAAATAACTTTGTTACGAAAAATCAGCGAAAAATTATATCCATTTATTTATTTTCAGCCATTTTAGTTAACATTGATTTGTCCATCTGTCTCGCAAAATCCACTTTTGGACCATTTACCTTAAACCCTCTGTCGATAGGATTCCCATTTTAAGTTAATTTTGTTCAACATCAATACAAAAAACTCTACTATGACTCTTGGTTCAAAAGCTCGCCTATTTTCAAAATGGTTGCCATTCTTGTTTCGCGAAATTCACTTTTTGCCCATTTCCTAGCTTTACAAATAATTTCAGCTGTCCTGCATTGTAAAAAGCCATGTCACTGTAAAAGGTAGTTGTATGAAATAATTTTGTTACAAAAAATCGGCAAAATATTATATCCATTTTTTTTATTTTCAGCCATTTTAGTTAACATTGATTTGTCCATCTGTCTCGCGAAATCCTCTTTTGGACTATTTGCTTAAAACCTCTGTCGATAGGATTCCAGTTTCAAGTTATAGGATTCCAGTTTCAAGTTATTTTTGTTCAACATCAATACAAAAAACTCCCTTATGACTCCTGGTTATAAAGCTTGCCTGATTTCAAAATGGTCGCCATTTTTGTCTCGCGAAATTCAATTTTGGCCCATTTCCTAGCTTTACCAATAATTTCAGGTGTCTTGCATTGCAAAAAGCCATGTCACTGTAAAGAGTAGTTGTATGAAATAATTTTGTTACAAATTATTGGCAAAAAATTATATCCGTTTTTTTCAGCCATTTTAATTGACTGAGAGACAGATGGCTTGAAATAATTTTGTAACAAAAAATCAGCAAAAAATTATATCCGTTTTTTTCTGTCACCATGTGAGCCCAGTACCCACGGTACTAATTTTTTGATCTTTCATATTACCACAGGTTCTATTTGTAACTTATTTTCTTGTTCAATCCTTCATTTTGTACAAACCAGTGACCCTCTTTTAACATGTTTATGTTTTGTTACAGTTGCAGTATATTTGTGACCAACATTTGACAACAATAGAAAGCATAATGGAAAGTGGAGACTCACTACAGAGAGTTGAACATCTCATGAAAGAACTCAGACACTTTGAGGAAGATTCTGTGGTGAGTTGCAATATTAAGGATAATTAGGAAAAGTCCAATATGTCAATTTATACCCATGAATTGGAACTAATTTGGGGAGAGGTTAAATCAAGAGCAATTTTATTAATAATTAGTTTGTTATTATGATTTTACTTAAGCGTATAATTTACAGTGAGAGGACAACCATTTGATATCCCATAATGCAAATTGAATTTAAGCAGACGTTTCAGGTTTTGAAGCATCGGATAGTATTTTGGTGGCTCTTTCTTTGTTACCTATCCCATAATGCAATTAGAAAAGCAGATGTTCAATAAATAATGTAATTTTTCAGGATGATTTTGACAAGTCTGAGCAATTGAAAAATATTGGAGAGCGATTGATCGCTGGAGATCATTACGCAGTTGATAGCATTAAACCAAAATGCTTTGAACTGAACCATATGAATAAAAAATATCGGGAAATTACAGAGCATAAACGGGAAGTTCTCAAAAAGTCTCTAGAACTACAAGATAGACTTGCAAAGGTACGCTTTGAGTATAACTAGATGAGGAATATTATTTAAATTAAATGTATGGACTCAATTTTAAAAAATATCTGAATGTTTTATAAGCACATAATCTCAATATTTTACAAAATGTGAACATTTGATTTGTAACTTAAATTTTGTCCAATGATGTCTAAACATTTATCCTTGTCAGAACATGTTCAATGTTCAATAATAATTTTTTTTAACATATTATTTATTTATTTCATAATCAAAAAATACACAAAATATCTACTACCAATCGCCATAGGCATTCTAGGTAGTTTAAATTACAATAGAGGATTAATTACAGTAATCGTAGATGGTTATTGGTAATGTGAGAGGTTGGGAGGGAGAGGGGTTGTCACAAGATACAAATGAGAATAACATTAATTTGAATAATAATGCATGGCTCATGAGCACTTTAATTTGCTAATGAGTATTTGCCATGGTTGAATTAAATGAAACAAATATATCCCATAATTTCTAGGCCAGTAGATGGTGTTCTGAAGGTGTTGACCTTCTCGCTACGCAACAAATAGAGAGATGTCAGACACAAGATGGCGCCCTACTTGCACTAAAGGATGTCGAAACATTCCAAGATAAGGCAAAAGAATTGAACCTTGGAGATCCAAAAGAATTTAAAGCCATGTTTGGAAAAGTAATGGATTCAGAAACCACAGTGAGTAGAAATATTGGGAATATTTAAATAAATGGGGGATTCAATTTGTAGTGATAAATAATGGAATACCCATGTGAACATCAGATGCATATTTATTGATCAACCCTCGTATATGTACCAGAGAATCTACTATAGCACCAGCTTGAAGCATCTAATATTTAGAAAGTAAAAAAGAATGATAGATTTTGTTATTTTTTCATATTCCATATTTCAAGTAATGACTGTTTAGCATTATATTGACTAATTTTCGTCAGAATTTTGTAACGTGAATTATGCATCACTTGAAAGAATATCCTTGTGAGATTGAAGTTCGTGGTTTTATCATGAGAGCTAAGTGTACAAGGCCTGCTCAATCTGTTTCACCTCAATTATTATTAGTGTACAAGGCCTGCTCAATCTGTTTCACCTCAATTATTATAAGTGTACAAGGCCTGCTCAATCTGTTTCACCTCAATTATTATTAGTGTACAAGGCCTGCTCAATCTGTTTCACCTCAATTATTATTAGTGTACAAGGCCTGCTCAATCTGTTTCACCTCAATTATTATTAGTGTACAAGGCCTGCTCAATCTGTTTCACCTCAATTATTATTAGTGTACAAGGCCTGCTCAATCTGTTTCACCTCAATTATTATTAGTGTACAAGGCCTGCTCAATCTGTTTCACCTCAATTATTATAAGTGTACAAGGCCTGCTCAATCTGTTTCACCTCAATTATTATTAGTGTACAAGGCCTGCTCAATCTGTTTCACCTCAATTATTATTAGTGTACAAGGCCTGCTCAATCTGTTTCACCTCAATTATTATTAGTGTACAAGGCCTGCTCAATCTGTTTCACCTCAATTATTATTAGTGTACAAGGCCTGCTCAATCTGTTTCACCTCAATTATTATAAGTGTACAAGGCCTGCTCAATCTGTTTCACCTCAATTATTATTAGTGTACAAGGCCTGCTCAATCTGTTTCACCTCAATTATTATTAGTGTACAAGGCCTGCTCAATCTGTTTCACCTCAATTATTATTAGTGTACAAGGCCTGCTCAATCTGTTTCACCTCAATTATTATTAGTGTACAAGGCCTGCTCAATCTGTTTCACCTCAATTATTATTAGTGTACAAGGCCTGCTCAATCTGTTTCACCTCAATTATTATTAGTGTACAAGGCCTGCTCAATCTGTTTCACCTCAATTATTATAAGTGTACAAGGCCTACTTAATCTGTTTCACCTCAATTATTATTAGTGTACAAGGCCTGCTCAATCTGTTTCACCTCAATTATTTTAACTCCTGTATTGTATATTTTTGTTAATACCACAAAAGAAGGTGAGCAGTCCAATGCCTATTGTATTTGATATTATCCCATATTCATTGTGCCATAATTTACACAGTCATATAATTATAAAAAAAACAAGCCGTTGAATCCCATATCCATGCATTCAATACACACTACAACCATTTATAGGAGTTGTGGACCACTCTTGATTAATAAAATATGTTGCTTTTAATTTTTTTCAGGAAACAGTTCAGACGATACTCAAACGCATACAAGATGTTCATGATATGTGTGACAAGCGAAATAAAAGTCTTAAAAAACTCGCAAATACTCTTCCTCGCCCTGTTCAGCCTGTCATCCCTGCCCCCGCAGAACCACTTCCTGTTCGTAAGGATGCAGTGGGCCCCACACAGAGACCAGATATTGAATCTACACGACCAATACCAAAGATATCACCTCGGGAAATCAAAGAGCAACCAAACAAAAAAGCTCCACCTATTGAGGTCACTTTGAAGCGAAAGGAGCGCAAAAGTAAAAAGAAGGTTGAAAAATCTAAATCTTTACCAACTGACAAGCCTCCAAAGACTAGAAGGGTATGCTTTTAAATAACTATTATATTATGTTAAACTAAATAACAATTAAAGAATAACTATGGTTTTTGTTTTCCATATTTTTTATTCAATAATTTAATGACAGATGTTATTGAATATGAATATAGCTCGACACACTTGTTACTTTAAAAGGAATTCTTCTTACATAAAATACCTGTAATGCTGGTCCTTTACCAAATTATTATATTGTTATTTCCCATAATGCAATTTATCAAGCAGACGACAATTATTTCAGCCTGGTATGGCTTCAATCCGGCAACGTATCATCAGCCAAGACAGTGATACTCAAGATAGTGAATCTGAATTAGTCAATCAGGTGACACTCGACCCAGAAGTCCTGTTTGCAAAAAGAGGGTAGGTGAAGTGTGCAAACATCTCTAAAATGTATTTTTTGAACTTAAAATGAATCATTCAGTGTGCATTTTCTCTAAATAAGATTAAAAGAAGTACATACAGTAGTTGGATATGAATAAACAACACTTGGGTGACAACATGTTGTATCGATTTGGGAACAAAAAGAAAAAGAATTAGTGGAAACACGTTACCTCGATCAAATATTGTCATAAATAGAGGGTCACTTGCGAACTTTATTGATCGCCCCTTGTACGCATACCATACTATTTAAGTACATGTAATTTGAAATATTTTCAATATTTTAGACATGTCATGAAAGAGCTGATTGATTCAGAACGAGTTTACATCTCTGAGATTGAAAGCATAATTGATGGCTATGCACACAAAATGACCGATCCCTCGATGCGTCAGATCATTCCTGATGAACTGTATGGGAAGAAGCATATCCTGTTCGGCAACTTGGAACAGATTTTTAAGTTTCATCATGAGAAATTCTGGGAGGAACTTGAAGGTTGTGTCAATACACCAGCCCTGGTTGGCAAATGCTTTGTTAACAGAGTAAGTTTCTTCAAGATAAGCTGAAACAATGTGGCTCTAATAACCCATGATTAGTATAAGATATTAGACAAGATGGGGCTAATATGAAAAGGGCTTTTTTTGCAAAACGATATGTAAAATGGTATGGGGTGAGCTAAATTAGCCCCACATATTTAATTAAAGTATGTTATGTCAGTCACGTTTTCAATGTCATATTTTCCAAAGATCTGCATGCTATATAAATGCAAATGAAATGTATAAATCAGGTCAATTTCTTTGTGATATACCAGTGTATTGCAGATTACTGTAGTACAGTAACATCAGTAGATAACATTCATTTCTCAACATCCAAGTGAATGTTGAACACTTGCAATCTTTACAACTTACTATCTTGGCTCTCTAAATCAGAGATTCATTATGTTTTGTTTCTCTCCTCCAGAAAGAAGAGTTCCAGATGTACAGTGAATATTGTCAAAACAAGCCAAGGTCAGAACTACTGAGAAGAGAGGCTGGAGACAACAATCCATTCTTTAAGGTATTTCATTAGATGATCAGATTTGATAGGATCCAACTTGTTTTTTGTTTCTAATTGCATATTACATGTACTAGTGATATGATCTTTTCTAAAGGAAGAGTTTTTTTTGTTGTACAGAATTGAATTTCATACCAAATGAATTCCAGGGATTCCTTGAAATGATATGAAAAACTTGAAATGATATGAAAAACTTGAAATGATATGAAGAACAAAAAAATGAAAAATAAGTATCATGGCTGTAGGTCATTTACATTTTAACAAACAGCCAATGTAAATGAAAAGGAGTCGGATCAGAAAGACGGGCAATGGTATCTACAGTTGCATGGACATAAATTCATTATCATCTTTTGATTTCAGGAGTGTCAGAAACAGCTTGGTCATAAGTTACCACTGGGGGCATATCTCTTAAAGCCTGTACAGAGAATTACCAAGTACCAGCTATTATTGAAGGTAATAATCTATGACCTGTTGATATACATAAAGGCAGTACTGATTAAAAAATGATATACATGTACATGTATACATGAAAATGAAATCAAGGATAAGACCATGATTCAAAATTATCTTCCTTGTATTGTTGTGTGTCCCTAGGTATTAAACAATCACATAAGGTGCTTGAAAATTATTATGAACGTAGTAATTCATAAATAAAATATTCATATATACTGACTCATCCTTCTACTGCGACGTTGAGTTTTGCATTAATAATTGAACTTTGTAATAATAGAATAATAGAACCCTACTTGACACAACTAATGTTTGTTTTCTTCTTGTTGAAATAAGATGTTGAAATAAAAACTCATAACATTTGATAGAAATCAAAAATAAAATATGGTTATTGCTTTTGCAGTAAAAATGGATATTCCATAACACTATAGTATATGCCATTGTAATAAATAACTTATCTTGTTCTCCATGACACACCACATGTCTGTTTCACTTTCAGGAAATGTTAAAATACACAATTGACAAGGCACAGTGTCATGACCTCCAGGAGGCACTAGATACAATGCTAGGGGTGTTGAAATATGTAAATGACATCATGCATCAAGTTGCCATAACTGGTTTTCCTGTAAGTATTTCTTGTTTGCTTCATTTATTTGGCCAATTTCTGATATTTCGACCCTCTATGTACATGTATTGCACATCTACCAGACACAAACGTTATACACTAATAGAACCACTATATGATTGGTGCATACTGTCTGTGAAATCCTACACGTGTTGAAATATTATATTTTTTCATTTCTGTAAATCAGCAATTTTCAAGCATGTATTATTTGTGAACTATTCATGTATGAACTGTTCTTGTGCTTGAGAAGTGCTTTAACTGAAAACCCATATAATTCAGTGTCTGTTCGCAGACTAAGATTACTTAGGTAAACTAAGGTTATGGATGTCAAATATTATGACATCTTTCAATAATAGTATAATATCAGGGTCGTTTAAATAAATACAGTTTCTATCCCTTTCCAGACTTACATACATCAAACTCTGGGGCTTCATAATTCACTGATTTTACATACCATATAATTTCAGGGTCGATTAGCAGACCAAGGTAGATTATGGATGCAGGACTCCTTCAATGTTTGGTTGACTCATGCACAGAAAAAAGATCGTTTAAAAGACATTCGCTTCAAACCTATGCAGAGACATATATTTTTATACGAGAACTCAATCCTGTTTAGTAAGAAGATGGAGGACAAATATAAAGATAAAGAATATATTTATAAGTCATCATTAAAGGTGAGTTGGAAAATTCAAGTCTCTTGGAATATGAATAAAAATATACAACAAAAAATACATTACCCTCTAATTTTAATATTTTAATCTCAGGGCTATTGTTGCAATATAAGGCCACCCCGTATTTATAGATATAGTTGCATCTCTTCAAAGAAAAAAATCGAGAAAATTAGAAACTAAAAAATCAATTAATTTACTCAATTTTTGGCACTTAAAACCCTGGGCATTTTTGAACTGTAAAATGTTTTCATACACATGTACATATATTTACAAAAGGTTTAAAATGAAAGAAAAAATTTCTGTGTCTAATTTCAGACCTCCCAGATTGGGCTGACTGAGAATGTGAAAGGAGACAAGAAAAAGTTTGAAATTTGGCTCCATAATAAGCAGCAGACCTACATCATTCAGGTATTTTATAGTTGATAATTTTTATGTCACCTTCAAAAGTGGTGACATATTGTTATGGTCTCCAACTTTTTTTGTGTATGGTCTTCGGCGGTCAGCATATGTAACGAATGGCAGTCAGCGTCTGTGATGGCAGGTGGTGACATTTTGCATGTTAATGCCTTGTTTTGCAGTACATGAAAAGCATCCCAAGTAAAGGGTCCTTAACACATATGATCTGATACAAACTACCCTTTGCATTCGTTTGACTTCACTTCTTAAAAGAGAGCTTCGTCTTCACTCTTTCAAACTAAAATAAACCTGTGAACTCCCCGCGCCAATCAGTGTTCGTTGGCCAAATTTGATCGACGTTCTATTTATGGTCATTCCTTCTGACGTCATCGTTTAACCCAGAATTGACCAATGGCATGCGCATATTTAATTAGAATGCATTTGGCATATGTTTCTTCAAGCTCGCTGATTGGTGGAAGAAAGGTCAGCGTGTAGGTCAGAAGTGATTTATTACCCAAACTGTGACCGGTACCCATCGTGGGGACGGGGCTACTAAACTGTAATATGCTCTTTACTAGGCAGAGTGTAGTTTAACTAGACTCTAAACGCAGGGTAAATACAAACTGGAAGCAAAAAATGGTTGAAACATTAGAACTGGAACAAAGTCATTTCATGCACCTATGGAGTATTCAAATGAGGAAAATAAATTGGTGTTGCTTTGTTTTCAGGCGCCCTCTATAGCTGTTAAACAGAAATGGGTGGAAGAGGTGAAAGCTGTTTTACAGAGACAGTTTGACAGAATGAAAGAAGCTATTGCCAAAAAGATTGAAATAGATGAGGGGAGAAGTGATGATGCAACCAGCCTTACAAGCCAATCTAGGTGAGATGATTGTTTGGAGGGAGTCCCAATTTGAAATGCATATCATAGAAATGCCATAATATCAGATACAGTGAAACCTGTACATCCGAACGCCTCTCTAATCTAAACACCTCTTTTGTGAACACTTTTTCTAAATCCCAAATTTGTTATCTCTTATTGACTTACCTGTTTATAAAACCTTGAAGTGCGAACACCTGCTAATCTGAACACTTTTGGCTGGTCCAAGAGGCGTCCTGATTAGACATGTTTTACTTCAGTTAATGATGTATGTAGCATGCAAAAAAGCATATACATATAAGCAAAATGTATATTGTGGAAGGTTATCCAACATTGTGATTGTGATTCTCTGTAAATATTAATAAAGGCGACATAAATTCAGTCTTATGAAACATTGATTATGTATATATGTTATTTACATTTGATTTACGTTTAAATGAAATAAAAACAAATTTTGTTATATCACACTTTGCTCCTTTATTTCAGTCTTCCATTGGACAACCAATCAGATAGCAGCCCCAACAACAATGGCGGCTCAGCACATGACACGAGTGATGACTCGGCAAGTTTCCATGATGTCATAATTCCAGATACAAACAATCAAACTGAAGCTATGGCAACACCTATTCAATTTTCAAAAACTTTCAATCAAATTGATACTGAAAATGTACCAAAAAATACAAACCCTGGTGTCGCCATACCGGAGATTTCCATTTTGGAAGAAGGTCAAGGGGACACAACTGTGTATTATAGTGATGATATGTGGTCATCTGATGAATTTGAACAGACGGATGATGAGATACTAGAGGGTGCTGGTGATGAAATGGGAGATAACAGTTCTGGTAGTTTAGAAGTGAGTGGAACATTTTGATATATTGGTGGTATATACAATTAGTTAAACCTCTACTATTTACCCTAGATTTGTCTGATTCAGCGTGGAGCTTTCTGTGCAAATGTTCTATGATTCTTGATCATTTGGACAAGAAATCCAATCTGACAAATACATGTTAACTCTGATGTAGAAGCTTTGAGTTAAATTGATCCGAAACACAATTATATTGCCAACATGAAGCGGTAATCGAAAACAATAATATATTCTATAGTATCAATTCAGGTCTGTTTCAAAACAATCTCATTTCTGTTTTAATTCAAATTGAATACTGCCCATGGGATTCGCTACGCTTTGGCATTGCCGTTGTTTTAATTCAAATTGAATACTGTTCATTGCAGATAACTGGTATTGAGGGTAAAGAGTACATAGCACTCGCAGATTACTCCAGGGTTGACCCTAGCGAGCTCTCCTTGACTGAAGGAGATAAAGTTGTGACGCTACGCCTAGGGACGGATGGTTGGTGGTATGTCCAATCCACCAATAAGGAGGAAGGCTGGGTACCTGCTAGTTATTTAGCTGCATTCCATCGCCATTCACATTCCGACATCTCAATGAGCAGTGAAGGTATTTCTTGTAATAAATCAATACTTATTTGACTATATAACTGGTTCTTGGTCCCCAAATTGCCCTTATTGCCCTCTATACTGCCTATCCCAAAGAGGAGCAATATACAGCCCATTACATCAAACAGTACAACTAGATGAACAGTACTTAAAAGTACCATTTTGAGCACTTTTTCAAAATCAGTACTGTGCAGCATTGTTTCAAAAGTAGTCAACAGCACTGTTTAACCACTATTTTCCAAATCAGCATTGTAGAGGACTTGAAAAAATTCAACAGTAGTTGTCGATTGGAAGCTTTATTTTACTTTTACTCATTACGTGCATCTATTAAAGGTTTGTCTTCATAATCTAGTCTGTTGTTACTTAGATATCAAATTATGTTTACATACTTTAAATATATTTTCCTTTACGTATATTACATACTTTGTGTATCTTTTGTGTTTCAGAATCTGGCAGTAATGTCAGTGGTGCATTGAAAAACTTTGATAACAATTCTACATCAATACCACTTGATGAAATGGAGGAAATAGTCGTGTAAGCTTCAGTTGAGGTTGCTGACATGTGTGTTTAAATTGATAATATAAAGTTGAAGAGGCTGGGAAATGTTCCTGGTCTCTCTAAGACTATGACAAAATGGAGGAAAGGAAAACACATTAGATTGTGCATATTATTGAAGAAGTCAACAAATCCCAAGGATTATTTTAGTAATATTGAATAAGGAAGAGGATTCTTGAATAATATTTAATGAACTGTCGCTAAGGAGAAACGAAGGATATACTGATACTGTGCCATGTGCTAACCTGTAGTAAATTATAACAAGGATGGTAGAATGGAAATATATTAATAATGAAGAGATTTCAACTAGTCAAAGTTTGGAAAATATGGATGTTACATCAAATATCTAGGAAACCATAGCAACTGTTGCAAACAATGTAGGATTGAAATAAGTATCTGTGATAATATTAAATGAAGATTCTTGGAATAACATTGAATAAAGGAAAATAATTATGGGAGTAATACTGAATGAAAAAATGATTGAAACAAAAAATAGTGAAAGAAGGAAATTTACTATCGGTATCCAATGAGGCAAAATGATTCATGGAATAATATTGATTGAACGGCCACTAATGAGGAAGCAATCAGATTGCATTCTGCAAATGACATTCTCAGATCATATCTACCCTGATTCAATTGAGAATACTGCATGCAGCCAGGAGACAAGGAAGATAAATATATGCCCCTCAGGGTAATAATCATATCCACTTTCACAGTTCATGCTCACTCTTCCCCTCTAAGTTGCCTAAATCATTGGAATATTCTTGGTGATTTTTACCTTTAATGAGGTGTTTAGCTCGTATAATATACACTGGTTTTACAGTTCAGTTTTATGCTTTATATAGGACTGAAACATGCACTTATATAGTGGGTTTCCTACACAGCCAATCTGCAACAGTACCGTACAATACCGTTTTGGCAATAGTACCCCACAGTACCGTTTTGGCAATAGTACCGTACAGTACCGTGAAATATGGTACCATAGACTAAAAATGTACCGTACGGTACCATGAACAGTGTACAACACCATACTCTCATTGTACTGTACTGGTACCAATACTCTCAATTTACAGTGTAGATTGGGGCTGTAGATTTGTATTGTTGATGCAAAAACTCATATAGGACTAAAAATCGTGCAATTGTATGGCTGGCCTTTTAGAATTGTGTGTCCATGTACATCTATATGTGTATCATTGTGAACTCTCAGACCATGTGGTTTTGGTGTCTTCATTGAAAATTAAATTGAATGATTTAAAGTCATTGGTGGAGGCAGTTGTGTAAAGACAAAGTTATTTTATTTTAGTTCATCCCCACCTCGTCCTACTAATAAAATATGTTGATTTGCAATTTACATCACTGTGTGGGAATAATTTGATATGTAGTGTTGACATGTTTTGGTAACCTGTGGTAATTGTGGTAGGCTTCTGTAACAAGATATTACACTTTTCTAACAGTTTTCAGTAACTACTGTACAAGGGATGATATATTGTCATGTCAATGGCCGCTTTGCTTCGTTTTGTTCTCATAATAGTGTGTCATTTCCTTCAGTTTGTGAATCACTCTTCTCATGTTTAGTTCCCAACATCAAATATCTTACTCCGAAATGCTGATGGAAAATCTGATCCTTATTTTAGTTTTATATTTAAAAATGTAAAAAGTTTGTATCATGGTATTGGTGTCAACTATTAGTGCTATATTATACAATGATGTGTACTAGTACAATAAAGAACAATTGTAAAATGGTGTAGATTGTACAATAACTAGACTAGAGCTGCATAGAAAACAGCTGATAATATATTATTACATATTTTGACAATAATTGAAAGTGAAGTTTGCTGTGTCATATTTATGAAAAATGAATGAATTTATTTATCATGGAGTGGAACTCATTTTTGAATGTGAGTATTTGAATATTGACTATTTGAATATTGAATATTTTGTTATTATTATTATTTGGCAGAGTTCTCCCCAGGATTCATTCTAAAGTGGAAAAGTCACACCAAAATTTTCAAAGTATGCCTATTTTGTGGGTGCAAATGTAATTTCAGCTGGTGTGTGCGAGCTTATTTTCATTATCACATTTTGGAGCAGTGTCAAGAAAAAGCAGCCTGATTGCGGGCAGTGACCACTTTCTTTGTTGCTAGGGAGATCACTGTATAATGTTATTGTTGTGATATTTATTTACATAAGAACTGTGTGATATTTATGTGTTAAATTCTGTTTACATTCCAGTTCAAAATGCTCTAAGATCTTATGTTTTAGTTAAAATAATCTGTATTGATGCCAGGAGTCAATGGAGATGCATTTGTAATATTTTAAAATAAACTGAAATAAATTAAAAGAATTAATTTCTTGTGACATTTTCTCTAAGAAAGATAAGTATCTGGATGATATATAAGAACTTGTTGCAAATGGGAAAAGAATGGTAAGAGAAGGAGCATTATTTTACATAAACACAAGAAAATAAAGAAACATAAAGTTGAAACAAAAAAAGAAAATAAAGAAGCATTTGAAAACGAATCTCCAATATCTTTAACTACGATGATTAAAGAAATGCAATCTAACACATCCATACCTCAGATGTATGAACAAAAATATGTCCAAAGGGAATCGGTCAAACCTAGCCAGGGCATGTTTTAGAAAAAATTATCTTATCTCATGCACTGATCCGTTTATGTCAATTCAGACTTAGATCAGTGATAACAGTATGTTAAAATTACAACCCGCATAGCTTAATTCCTTAACGTGTATTGGGTGTAGCAAGAATCTAAAAAGAGATGGGGTAGCAATACAGTATAAGGCAACTTAAGGTAGAGCTATTTACTATTTTGCCCAAATGTGGCTGATTATAAATATCGAGGAAAACAGGCAACTAAGAAGTATATGGATTCTGGAAGAACGTTATATTTTGTGATTATCAATAGCATAAGACAGCATAGAATTATATTTCTCTTGAAAAGTAGTGGCATTTTAAATTCAATAGCTGTCCAATGCATGCCCATAAGGCATCAGCACAAAAAAATCTTAACCAAATTTGACAGCTTGACACCATATGAATCCTGTTCATAGTTTCAACTGAAAGCAATGTCAGAGAATCGGATCTAGTGAGCAAGCTCAACTAAATCTTTAGGCTCATATCATGCATGTCATGCCTTGTCATGTATTTTTTCTAAAAAAGCATGACTTTATTCCGGAAAATCTTTTTCAGTAAAGTATTCCCTAGTCTAGATTTTTTATTATGAGAATTCAAACAGTTTTCCCCCAATTTTGCACTTTTGCACTTTAGTAGCTTATACAACCTGAGACTAATATACTCTTTTATGTTAGTCTCAGATACAACGTACCACAGATTGCAGATCTTTTGGGAGATATTGTTTTTGAGATCACAAGAAATAGATTAGTAGGCCAATTGCACCGCCGGTTTCTTGCAACTTTGTGACTCCCATCCCATAGATCTGATTCTGCCTTTAATAATGTAATTGTCTCACCTGCCTTATACTTAATTGCCTACCACGCGTGTTTATGGATAACTAAACACAAATGTTTTATGAGCTGATTTATTTTATTTCTCAAAAAATTCTCCAGTAAAATAACACGGTTTTTACAATTATACTAAAGAACTATACGAATGAAATTCCAGATCACGAAACGTTTCAATAATCGATAATAGTTCTCCAATGTTTGTGTTAATCAAATAATGTTCGTCGTAATCCTATAATGTTCGTTTCCAATAATAATAGATGATAATCCACAAATGTTTAATGATAATCCACAAATGTTACGATTTCTAGAAGACAACACTCGCTGATTCGACCCTTTGGTCAACTAACTATAGTTGAACACATAAGAATAGACACAGAGTGCTCAATCAATTTTTGAGATATCTGGTCGAAACCAGAAGCTACAGATTAAAGTTTTTAAATTTAGAAATGTCCAAATTCTTTACCAGGTAACCTTTAAATAGAAATATTATTATGAAAGTCAAAACTGACGTCACATCGACCCCTGGACCTTGGGTTGCCAGAACACTCATTTTAACATTAGATGCCATGTACTCTGCCACTAAGCAATTGTTCTTCAGAAAATTCTCGAGGATTAGCTTGTGATTCTTTCGGTCCTAGTGCAGGGCCTTTAAACCCATTCACCTGCGCCTGTAAAACAATGCAATTGACATGATGAACGTTTCAGGTGAAACTTGCAAACAGTTTATTTGGAAGAACAAGGCAAACATGCCGCCTTGCAGCCCGGAAGTTCACTCTACATTTGTTGGGGACCCAAGGCCGAAACCTTAGACACCAAAATGTCTGAAGCCCAGAGAAAAAAAAGATCTTTGAGGAAAACTATCCAAAACAATCTCAAGTTAGAATATCTGTATCTACTAGACCAATGCCATACCGCGAGTGAGAGGTTAAAATTTATTTTCCATGACCATTCTCATACCAGGGGGGATTCTCATACCAGATCCTAAAATTTGGGATCATTGGCATACCAAATGTCAAAAAGGCACCCGCATGCGCCGAGGATCCCCGTCATGGTTTATATACAGTGAACTCCCGGGGCCCTGCAGCCACTCCTTTTTCGTCAATGACAACGGAATCTGAATTTTAAATAATTCACCATATGCCGTTGTCTTTGTAAATTATCCCAAATTCAGATTCCGTTGTCATTGACGATATGGAAGACACTATATTGTGGCGGTTCACGACCCAATTTGATCGAAATTGGGATTTCATATGATACACCATCACAAGAGCTTAATACATGCACGAAACTAGGACCAAGTGATTGAAGAGTTGAAGCGACGGTTATGTCCGCCATTTGTGACAACGGTATCTGACTTTACCGTTGTCAGGCTATTCCGATGTGACTTTTGTAACAAATTGCATTATTGATTTTTTATACGTGGTGACAATTTGTATATAATATACAAATTGAATTTAAAAAACGGCTATATTGTATACACATCATTTCAACTTACTTTTCTCCCCAGGGCATGAATTCCACCCACGACTGCAGCCATGTTTTGTCCGTCTTGTAAAAACACGCTTTGGAATAAATCGCCTCTAGCGCACTGCAATGAAAACAACATACACGGTTGACCATATTGTTCCTAAAATAGATATTACAACTGATCGCCTTAGAAAACTGACAAATCCAGATATTTTAATCGTTTGGTGAGAAAGGGATTATTCTATTGTTCATACTGTATGTTAAGAGGATATTGACCAGTTGTCCGGATTTAGTTGAAAGAGTAACAACATTTTTTCAGTTCATTAGCCATTCCGGCTACGTGTATTATATGCTACTTTAATACTGGACTGAGTTCATTGTGTATACTATCAGTTTCAGTTTAGCGATTTGTAAGCAGAAATAGATTAAAAAACTTTTCAAATGTTTAAAGTCAAATTATCTAAACAGATTTAAAGTGAAAATCAAAATTAATTTATGTTACTGTTTCACCTTAATTTCGACAACAGATCAATCTCAATTCATCATATGAATAATTATATCGTCACCGAATGGATGCGTAGCACTTAAACTAGTAGTGTGGAGAGTATGATCGAATCTCTCTCCATTTTGTCGCTGGGCTGCTGTGAAGTCCAGCAGCCGTGGCTTTGATGTCAGATATCACTGTTGTTGTGGTGTCCCAATCTGATGGGATATTGCGCAAATCAAACAATTCTTTTTTATCTTTTATCCGGATATTCTCGAAAATCAAAAGTTACTCATCTCGGGAGATGACATGGATGTCGTATATACAGTATCTGATTGTATGTAACTAGTTTTTTAACTGATGAATTGTTGTAGCATACTCTGTAGACATTTTCACAGAATCCTTATTTTGCTGTTCTAAAGACATTCACATATCACTCGTTTTAGAATACTAACTGACAAATTCACACTTACTCCATAATCCTCGGCTTCTTTTAAGAAGTTGGCAATATTCTCCATATGCTTGAACTTGTTGGCAGATGCAGGGTGACATTTCCCAATACAACTGGGGCTAAGGATGTTCATAACGCTGTAAAACATACATGCATATAGGACAAGCTTCTGTGAACTGTAAACCTTGAAAGTACTGTAGACTGCTGAATTAACGAGTTAATTAATGAGTTAACGGAAGTCGAGGTCAACAGAACTTTCATGGTTTAAAGTTGAGGTATACATTTTTGCCAGTTGACCGAGACATGAGGTTAACAATTATTTTGTTAGTCCGAAAATCTTATGCTGCAAGGATAAAATATCGAATTTCACGTGAAGGTATATTTGGTATGTGGACCAAGATATCATATTTTGGCAAATATTACTCCTTTAAAAAGTGATATTCGATGGCTTCAAAAGTTTTTTAGCTATTCTGCAAAATGATTTTGAACTTTTTTTTAATTCTTTAATTTTATTTCAAACTTTTTTTCAAAATTCCCCCTCTCCTCAATTTGTTTTCAGAGTTTTTTTTCAAATTTGGATTTTTTTAAAAAGTAGCGGTCAACAGTACCCTATAGCGGTCAACAGTACCTACTAGCGGTCAAAAAACAGTATACAGTTGTTGCCCTTTCCAGAGGTCAACCGGCAAAATTGTATACCGAGACTGTAAACCGAGAAACTACTGTTGACAGAGACTGAAGCAACAGTAGTTTCAAGGTTTACAGTCGAAGTATATGATTTTGACGGTTGATCGAATGGAGAGATCTACAATTGTTTTGTTAGTCAGAAGAAACTAATAATACACATATAGACGACAATCATCAATCCTGGCTACAGTTGTTGCCCTTTCCAGAGGTCAACCGGCAAAATTGTGTGACAAAGTTTGATTTTTCATTGGATTTTTGAAACTTAGGTCATGATAATCTCGAATACTCTACATGTTGCTTACAAATACAGAAATCTTAGGATAAATACTTCCGTTGTGCTGATAGCATCATAACAGCAGAATGTTTTGGGAACTGGTAGCTTTGTTTACTGTAGAAGTTGAAGATGCATCATTTCTTGGCATGTGAATATAAACAACTTTCGAATGAGACATCATAATGTAAAACAAGAAGAATTGTTCACTTCCATTTAATATTTGTAAAATTAACTGAGGCTTCTAAGATGGAAAATGTTATTAATTTAGTAATTTATCAACATTACCTTGGACTCAATGACACAATCTTAAACTTCTATGGATGTTGCAGAGTGCCAAAGTTAAACTTAGATAAAGATATCTTGCATTCAATTGAACATGTTTTATAGTAAGGACTGGTGGTAGATTTGACAGGTAAATCACATAGCCAATGGCAAGAAGTGGTTCCAAGAAAGGGGGAAGTCTAGTCTATTGAGTGACAGTATAACTTTGAATGAAGCCAAGAAGCTATCATATTCAATTAATGATGTTTTGTCTAGCTTCCATAGATTCATAAACATATTGGTATATGATATCATTTTTATAAAACAATAGGATATGATAAATTGATGGGTGATGATGTACAAATTGACCAAAAACCAGTATTTTGTAGGTGAAATATACATTTTGATATATGGAAAACATTGTAATGTAATTGTATAAAGAATTTGCTAACTTTTATTGTTTAAAATATTATAAAACATGTATTTTGAAGAGATAATGACTTAATGGTTTGAATGAGTAGGGTAAAAAGTTCATGAGAATTGTCTGAACCGAGGTTCTGGGATTCAGTCATTAATCATACCTGTCTCAAAAGTTTCAACAAAAACTGAAATAAATGGGAACTTTTCAACTTTTTAGAAAATAATGTGGGCAGAAATTTGGCATGTTGATAATTAATCTTCATATAATTCTTCACACTTCTTTCCGGCCAATTCTTGTTAATGGGTTTTTTAGGGGATTTCATTGGATAAGACCCCTTATTTTGGCGGCGCCCACATAAAGAAATTGGGTATAAAAGGGGCAATTTTGTCTGAAATCCTCGGAACCTCGTTGCGTGAACTCGGGACAAACCAAAAACTGTAAGTAGCCGATTGAAATGATATTTTGGACTTTAACTTTTCTTTAATAAATTAATATTTTAAACTTTATTTGTTTTCATGTTTTGTAAAAGATAGAGAGACTCAACCTCGCCACAATTGTATACCGAGACTGTAAACCGAGAAATTATTGTTGACAGAGACCGAGATGAGTACATGGTGGTCCAAAAAAGGGACACTCGTATTTCAAAAATGAATATTGATTTTCTTGATGAAAACAGATCATATTATAAACCAGTGGATAGGGAATTCACTCATCTTTAATTAGGTATATCATGAGTTCAAATGTATTATAATGTCTGTCAACCAGCGTCCATAATATAAAAGACGTCATTTTCGCCTCAAAACGGGTTTTCCAAAACTTCCAAAAACCAAGTTTTATTGTCATCTTTATTTACATATATAAACGAACGTTCAATATGTCCAATATTTTGATCAATTGTAGCCCTCAGTTTTGGCCTTAACTGGTCGAATTTCACTTCTCAATTATTCTGTCATCGAGGGACTGAATAGATGTAAAGAATTCATGGTACACCATTCTGTTAGAACTCCCCATACGTGGTAGTCGCAGTCGCTGGGTGATCGGGTGATCTGGGGAGGCAGTGATTAAGGGGGATGAATCTATATGCACATTTTCTTTTAAACATTTGACAATCGCGTGGGATCTATTGCTTGGAGCCCCATTTTGTTGGAAAATGTAGATTCGGAAATGAGCTCATATCAGGATGGTCCAAAAACAACATAATTGGATCATCCGATGTCAACATCTGCGACTACCACGTATTGAGAGAACTAACAGAATTTGTCTACCTCATCTATTCAGTCCCTTAAAATCAGAATTGTAGAGAAGTGGAATTCATTGTCTCAACATGATGTCAATGATGCTTTTTACAAATTTAAACCAAAATTGAACATCTGTTTATGTAAATAAATAAACTAGAAAATGGCAACTCCACGGAGTAGCAAATCCCAACAAACACTGTATAAATCATCAATCTGTACAGTCACAACGTAATATTTACCATCTACTCTTACCTTCAATAAATATTTTAAATCATTGTAGTATCATGTAACCATACTTCCAAGATAACTCTAAGTAATGGCGAATTTCTGCTTTAGTCAGCCATTTTGAATTTTCAGAGGCGCAAATTAGAAAAACAATGCCATAATTGTGATCCACTCTGAAATTCCTTCAATTTGAGTATAATATAGCCATACTTTTAAGAGATAAGAAAATAATTGTGAAATCACGCATTAGGTGACCATTTTGAATTTTTTGAGGCCCGAATCAGAAAACGTTACAATATTTGCAATCTACTCTAAATTGCCTTTCATTTGAGTATAATAAAGCTATACTTACTATAAAACATCTCAAAACTAACGCAAATTCCTGTTTTCCCAATCCCCCATTTATGGCCCCTGGGGGTCAGGGTGAAAAACCCGGGATATATGTGAAATAGATAGATGTTGTTAATATACTACCAAAATTTCAAATGATAATATTTATTATTTTGGTTTAAAATGAAAAACCCGCCATTTTTAAACTGGCGGCCATCTTGAAAAAAAATGTGCGTAAAACTATTCACCAATATACATCTTTCCACCAAATATGAAGGAAATCTGTCGAATAGTATTCGAGTTATCATCCGGACAGACGGACGGAGTGACTGACGGACGGCTTCACTTTATCCCTACAGAACTTCGTTCGTTGGGATAATAAGTTGCACGTTTTTGAAAACCCGTTTTGAAACGAAAATGACGTCATTTATGTATTGGACGCTGATTGACAAACATTATAATAAATTTGAACTTATGATATACCAATATTAAAGATAAGTAAATTCCTATCCACTGGTATATAATATGACATGTTTTCATCAATAGAATCAATATTCATTTTTGAAATACGAGTGTCCCAATTTTTGGACCACCCTGCATTTCAACTGAGGTACTAACAAATCAAATTGTAAAATTATTATGATTATGGATTGCTTCCAATTTTACTTTCTACACTTTACTTACTGGACTAAAATGACACCATCTTTCAGTGCTGTCTGTACGTCATCTGGGCCTTTGACACCCACCTAAAAGTGAAATCTTTTAGAGTATACAAAATAACCACGGCATTCTGACATAAATGGAAGACTGTTTTACTGGATGTACCCAGTTTTGTCACAGCGTGACCAGTGAAGTAAAATGTAAAATCTGTTTTTCAATAACTTTGTTAATAATTTTGCTTACATTTCAATGCAAACCTTGGCACCGGTTTTTTCGAAATGGGAGTTCAACTTGCATCTTATCTACCATCAAACTATATTCAGATGGCTTATAGATATTAACTCCTGAATGATCGAGATGGGATATTAGAAATTATTTCCTTGTGATTTGGATTTTACATAATTAAATAAGGTTATTGGGGGTTTGTTTTTTATGACGAGCTGTGCTTTTTTAAATAAAAACGTTTCTTTTTCTTGCAGTCATTTGTAATTTTTTCTTGGTTTTTCCAGTTCATGCACCTATACATAATGTAACTCACTGGCGGATCCAGAGGCTAACAACAGGAGGGGGCATATTTCTAGACAGGAAAAATTTTAAGGCCCTAAAACCCAAAATTGGACCTAAATTTTGAAAATTTTAGGCCCATTTTTTGATAAATTTGGCCAAAAAGGCCCATTTTAGAGGTCCTAAAACTTTGGGGCCCTAATTTTTTTCTGGGCCTACGCAAGGGAGAGTGCGCCAAGCCCCCTTCATGGATCCACCAGTGTAACTAGATTAGAAATATAAATCACATACCAACGTTTTGGCCAGATCCTTTTCCTCACTAGTGTTGCCTGTCTCCAGCACCGCTGTGATCCAATCCAAGGCTTCCTTCTCTGACTCCAAGTCGTATTTTGCATCAATATTCTACAAGGAAAAGTACTCATAACTCTAAAAGTGGTCAAAAGAAAAGAAAGTAGATAATGTAATGATACTTTCCTGAAAAAAGGAAGGAAATACACAGATGCCTTCATACTTTATTTTGTACCAGAAAATAACATGTGCAGGTATAGCAATTTTTTCCCAAAATGTTATTTTCCAGCTGTACCTAAAGCAAATCAAACCCGGTGTCATATTTGAACAAGTGTGTGAGTAACATGTTTCAATGATTATTTTTTTTATTTTCTCTTCTAAATTAAGCATAGTGGGCCTTTAAGAATCGTCTCTTACCCTTGCTGTTTCGGCTGTGTATCCATAACCCATGGGTCTGTTTGCCATTTTTAAAATGGTTGAATTTCGCTCAATGTGAAACTGACTCCTTTCAAAAATAGGCGAATGAATGATAGTCGATTGAGTTAAACGACAACGGTTCGGTGACTTCAATGGCGTTTTTCGCTCATTTGAATACAAGTGTCGTTAAAGCAGTCACTGATTCTCGGGAAATAAAGGTACAATAAAAATAAACAATATATTTGGATTAATTCCCAGTTTCATTGAATGCATATGCATGTACCACCGATCGCTCCAGTCCCGGAACGCCTTTTTATTAACTCATATGTAATAAACAACACTGCCAGATCTGGGGTGAAATCATTCATTCTTGTCCCGTTATAGCAAGGTGACGAAGAAGGCAGCCAATTGCAGTTTTCTGAATGACCATGGTTTTCCAAACTTTAAAATTAGATAAATCATCCAACTGTACCACGTAACGAAAGAAGTGAGACAACATATTTTTGGGCAATCAGTTTTGGCTAGCGAAATCGGCGTACAGCAATATTAAACGAGGCACATGCAAAATGTCACCATATGTATTTTGTTACAAACGCAGAACGCAGAACAACCGCCCAACACCAACCACCGAGCACCATCCACAAACAGTTGGAGAGTAGACGATAGCAATATGTCACTTGTGATGGTAACATAAAAATAAATAATGCAGGCTCATTTAAAACTGTTTCCTCATATTTTTTCATGTCAGCATTCTATTTCAAATACAAACATACAGCAAAATACAATCAGCTTATTGCAATTACTGAAAATTAATGATTGATACCCCAGTATATCATTATATACAAGGGGTTTACGAAAAAGACCGACCCCGCCGGTTAAAAAGGACCGACCATATTTGCAGCCTTGAATACATGTATTAATGAATCAATCGTAGGCAACGTTTTTTTACCCATTTCGTCCCTTCACTGTTATAAGGTTCTAACTACCACGATGGGTCAAATGCATGTGAAAGTGGATTCCCCCTAAATTCACCATGCTCTCTTTTCAAAAATTAAGGTTATAAAGCTGTATCTCAATTAAAAATAGGATATTTCTAATGCAATGAAGTTCTATGTCCTTCATTCATAAAATATAATTACTGCTACATGGTTCTATCTCTTGAGATAAAACTTTTTAGCATTCAATGTCATGATTAAAATTGGAGATAAAACCTTTTTACATTTAATGACATAGTATATACAGTGTGATACAGACAAAATGACACCCACCCACATAGTGGGTCTGTGCACTGGATTACTAAAAGTCCAAATGATAACGAAATAACTACTTCTTTTATACACTATCACGAGGTTGCGTTCACTTATTTCTTATTAATCATGGCAATGGAAAAGAACTGATAGTGGGATCCATGAGTTAAACTTTCTCATGAAGGCGAATTTTGGTGTAGTAACAGACTCAGATGTGTGCCGTTAGGGCACTGACAAAATTAAGCTTTAGTAATTCTTTATAACCTGTGAATGGAGCTGCTTGTATTTATTTCTTATCAACACTAGTAAAACAACCTTATAAAATCAGAATATCCGCTATCGTTTTTAGGTCTAAATAGCTTTTCATTTGATCCTTAGAATTACTCTTATTCGAAATATGTCCATTTTTATTAATTGTATATTTTAAATCAAACCAATAAGAGAAGAATCTTCAACACAATTTAATATACCTATTAAAATGCAGATTACATTTGCTAAGTATTCTATAATATTACTAGGAAAACCAGCTTGGCACAACTAAGTGTAAAAACTAAAAACAGGGAGACAACAAATCTAAGATTAAATATTCTTCTTGAGAAAAATATACAGATTGACTTTATTTTTACTGTTTTTCATAACAAAAATTTAACAGCAATTTAAAAGACCGCCACAATATATAGATGTACATACGGATATAAAGATTTTGCCCATATGAGTGAACCGAGGGTATCCTACTTGAATAAAGACATTGTATATTTTTGAATATCTTCAGTTAGTTCGATATGATATGCCAAGTTAGAGTGACAATCCAAGAATGTATACAGCATACGAAACTGGTGCATTGTATAAAATCATTAATTGTTGATTATGCCTTTGTGACATTTGCTCCAATTTTCTTTTTTTGAGTGTTTTGTTCAAATTTGTATTCAACTTTGAACAAAATACTCAATCTGCCGGGCGCCGTAATGAAAATCGTAGCAAATGTGACCAAGGCATTATGCACTTATTTATTATTTCTTAGCACGAATTCTGCACTAACTTTGAACAGCAGTTTGTACTGATTGTACCATAGGTTTTGGGTCGATATAAAGATGGTAGCACCGACAGAATCCAGTATTATATTTTTCTAGCATGCCGTCTTTATTTTAAAGTTATTTCTATCGACCTAAGCCTATGGATTGTACACAACCTATATTGTTTATTGTTTATTGTTTCTTTTATTCCCGAAAATTAATCGGAGCAACAAACATAATAATTACAATTATACAGTTACTTTATACAATAGAGAATAATCATGAAATGTAAGAATAATATTTATATTTACATGAAATAGTGCTGCACAAATTGCAGCTTATTTGCAACAGTTAGTAAAAAATTACAAAATGTGTCATCATCTAATTGTTGGAGAACATCTGCCTGACTTCCTAGTATGGCATCAATAAAAACATGTGTGTCAGCAGAAAACAGCTTGACACCAGTATCTATGTCTAAAATTGAGACTAGTAAATTAAAAAGTTCGTCTCTCTCACAGATAATTCTGGTATTTTGGCAATGCAATAGGTAATGCACGATTATGAACTCATTGGTAATAATAATGGTGTCACACATTTTACACTTCTTTTCATATACATTAGGTAAGGATAAATGAATGAGATTGCCTAAATTCCAAGTGCATTTTGGGAATTGTCTACCCAATTCCCACATTATGCTTGGGCTGAGGTTTGTATGGACGTTACGAAAATATTGTAAAGAGACATTCTGTTGGCAGCTTTCTTGCCATTTGTTCTCCTCAAAAATATGAATTTGGGATTTAGTAAGCAGTCTCCACTTCTCCTTAATCAGATATTTGCCATTACAGATGAATTGTTGAATTTGGTCTGGTATATATTCATATTTTTCAGCCAGATTGTATAGATCATTGATAAACCCTTTCTGTTTAAAAGTTTCCCTGTTCGACAAATAACTTGCCAATCTTAAAATGAAGACTTTTTTAGTAATAAAATGTTTGCATCTACATAATCTGTTGAAAAACCCCAATTTAGCCTTATCGATCCTAGCAGATATTGTCCATAATCCAAGGGTCGATAAAACTACATCGGACGGAAATCTCATGCCAAAACGTTGAATTGCTTTTGTTACTTGACGTTGTGTAAGTTCTAGCAAATAAATGTCTTTTTTGGTTAGGTTTGACCAAAGCTCACATCCAAATAACATGGCAGGTAATATTATGTTGATCCAGATTCTTAATGAAGTAAGAGGATTTGCATCCTTTACAATGCGGACATTGGCAATTGAGTAATACGAATTTTTGGCTTTTTTACATGCATTAACTACCATGTCTTTGCATTTAAAATCACTTCTCAAAGCGTTACCAACGTATTGTTGAGTATTTGCGTTAGGAATAATATCACTGCCTAAGAAGTAACACACTTGATTTCTGGCTTTTGATGTCTCATTGAATGTGACCACGGCGCTTTTGCCGTCTTCCCCAGCATGGTACAGTAACCTCCACTTGCTACTATATTCATATACAATGTTTAGTAGGGTCTGTAGGTCAGCAGGGGAAGACGCCAAAAGAGTCGTATCATCCGCCACTAAAATGCATGGGATTAGAGTATCACCGATAGTTACGCCGACACCTGAGTTACATAGGTCTTCAATAAGACCGTTGATAAAGACGTTAAAATAGATGGCGCTACAGACCCGCCCTGACCCGAGCCCTCTTTTATTTCAAAAGTTCTCGACATTTTTCCCATATATAATACGCTCGCCATTGTGTCGGTATAGCTATCTACTATTAACTTGAACGCTTTCCCATTTATACCAAGGTTATATAATTTGTGGAAAAGTCCTATCCTCCACAAGTAGTCAAAACATTTTACATTATCCAAAAATGCACAAAATAGTTTGCTTTTCTGTTCACTATAATGGTGAATGGCTTCCGAAAGTACAAACATAGCAAATTGACTTCCAGAGCCTTCCTGATAGGCAAATTGAAGTGGGTTAGGGCATTTTAAAATCTTAAATTTAGGAATGAGTCTTACAGAAACTATCTTTTCCCATAGCTTAAAAGAACCGACGTGAGTGTAAGACCACGAAAATTATCTGTACATGTGGGATCTTTATTTTTCCCTTTGAATAATGAAATCATAATTGCTATCTTAAAACAAATTGGTAAGCGTTCAACTTTAACAATTGCGTTAAAAATTTCGCAGATCTTTTGAGTTAAGTGTGGACCACCATATTTTAAATGTTCAGCGACCACTTCGTCCATCCCAGGTGCTTTGTTGTTTTGAAACGATTTTACAGTGTTTGAAATTTCTTGACAAGATATGGGTACATCAAAGACACCATCTTGGTTAAATGTTGAATTTACCTTCATTAAGGAGAATTCATGTTCAACTTTAAGCTTATGATTATTATCAAAATGTGAGGCGTTGTGTGGGCTACCAAGTTTTTCAAAGTGATTAGCCCAGATCTGTCTTACCTCATCAGCGTCTCTGTAGATAACATCATTTACTTTAAGCTCATGGATGCGATTCGTTGATTGGGCATTTTTGTTTTTAAAACAATTGATTTTCCGATAGAAAAATGCTGAATCAACCTCGCTTGCGTTTTCGAGTTGCTGGATCTGTGAAAATTCATAATCAGCCCTTGCTGATTTTAATTCTTTAGCAAACCTCCGTTTAGAGAGCTTATAAAGCCTATATGAATCGTGTTTTAGACCGCGTGGTTTACCGTCCTGAATCCAAATGGAGCGGTGCGACTTCATGTTCTTATGATGTTCCTTGACAGTATTAGTCCAGTAAGGCTTTAGAAACTTTCTAAATTTCGATTTTGGAATGAAACTATCAGAGCTGTCAATGACTATTCTAACTAAGTCCTCAGTAGCTCTAGAAAGGCTAGAAATTGAATCCTTAGGAACTATGAAATGTTCCAGTTTAGAAGAGACTGAGTTAGGATAGTCAGATCTGTTCCGAGCTGTAGCTTTATTCCACCTTAAAACAGATTTATTACTCGATTGAGTAAGGTAACATGTATCTATAGAGAGATCTAGTGAAAGTATAACAGGATGGTGATCGGAGATCTGTAGAGAGTGATCATCCAAAACTGTGCATTTTTTTACTAAATCTTTTTTACACGTAGGAATTGCAAAAAGGTCGACGCAAGACACGTTTTTGCCATTACCGCTGTAAAATGTAAACCACGGACCGTCAGCAAGGTCACTTGAATTAACAGAAAAAAGATTACATTCTAATAACCAATCTTCTATCTTAAGACCCCTAGAATTTGGCGAAATGCTACATCTTGGGCCACTTTTTGCACTCAAATGGCCATTAAAATCACCAGCAAATACAACTGTGCCAAGCTGCTTGTATTTATGGTAAACTTCATACAGAGAATCGAGGTACTCCAGAAAAATATTTTCTGGGTAAGTGTTACATGGCATATAAACAGCAAAGACGAAAATGTAAGTATCCTTACTGACAAGCAATTGAACTCCACAGATTCGGTCATTGACAGGTATCGGTTTTACAATAAATTCTTTTCTGTATAATATAGCAACACCACCACAGCCACGCCTCGGACCATAGTCTATAGAAAGGCGTTTGTCACAAACCGTCAAGGCAGAAAAATTTGAATCAAATGAATCTAGAAATGAAGTAGAATCAGGATAGAGCCAGTGCTCAGTTAAAACGACTATATGTAACAAGGGGAGAAGCGTGGCTAAGTAGGGTGAGCCATACATGATACCTTTACAGTTCCAATTTAAAATATTAAGATTGCTTATCATTAACAATTGGTAGGAGTGCAGTCGTATGACCAGTCGTCCTCAGACATGTTATCGTCGTACTTGTTGCGCGGTCCGAACCAATTGTCGCCAACCTGGTTAAAGTTGTACTGCTTTTCTGAGAGCCAAGGTCTACAAAAAGTGTTGGCTGGCCAAAATTCATTGGATACTGCTAATTGATATTGAGAATTTATAACATTAAGTCTCACCGAGAGTGTTTCAATTCCATTTCTGTTACTCCTTTTTCCGACAACACGCATGTTGGTAACTTTAACGCCACGTTTTAAAGCATACGATATTATAGATTGCCTAAGCTTGTCATATGGAACTGATTTTACATTTTGAGTGTTTTGTTCAAATTTGTATTCAACTTTGAACAAAATACTCAATCTGCCGGGCGCCGTAATGAAAATCGTAGCAAATGTGACCAAGGCATTATGCACTTATTTATTATTTCTTAGCACGAATTCTGCACTAACTTTGAACAGCAGTTTGTACTGATTGTACCATAGGTTTTGGGTCGATATAAAGATGGTAGCACCGACAGAATCCAGTATTATATTTTTCTAGCATGCCGTCTTTATTTTAAAGTTATTTCTATCGACCTAAGCCTATGGATTGTACACAATCTATAGTTATACAAGGAAATGCTCATTTACGCAGAAAGTTATTTTGACAATGTACACATATAAAATCAATTTTAGTGTATCAAATAAAATTACTAATGTTTTTGATAGAGCCCATGATGCTAACCAAATTATCAACATGATACTGGGATGACTTAACTCGTCAACAGCCGAATTAAATGTTAGATTTCAATTTATCATACGCTATACTGTCTTTCACAGATAACAATTTAAATATTTGTTGTGCATTTGCAGGGCTGTTCATCTGAAAGTTTCCTTGGACTCCATTGTCAATGCGGGAAGCGTGAATGGCATCTTTAATAGCCATGAATGCTGCGATACCCATGTGAATTGGCGGTTCTCCAACTCCCTGGAAAAAATAAAGATAAATTACAAGCAACATGTACAATTGACCGACCAATCTATTCCTTACAATCTCAAATACAATATCTCCCAAAAGATGCATGATATGTTTTAAATTGGTGAAGTTATAATGGGTTCAAAGTGCAAAAATGGGTGAAAAATGTGTAAATTCTCCCTAATAATAAGAATGGTAACCATTCTTATAGAAAAATAATAAATTATCGTAAAACTCTTTAGTTTCCTGAAATAAAGTGTGCACTTTTGTGATTTTTAGAAAATAGACATGAAAAGGAATGACTTAAGCCAGAAATATTCTAAAATTGAAACAATTTTTTGTGAGGCCGTCGCTAGATCTGATTCTCTCTTTAAAATGTTGATATTATATTCAATTCCAATTTCCACACATTTTATAGTCCAATTATATTTTCTGAAACATATTATGCCTCAATCACATATGATACGGCGGCCGTAGCAGTTCGATGTAGGTTTTCTGTATTGATTTTGAGAAGCTACAGCCGCCGTAGAGCAAATGCCATGACTGAGGTTTTAGGAGTCTTAATAGAAATGAACATTTTTATGTGTACCTTTGAGCCAAACAGCACTGCCTCTTTACTGTCAGAATTGATCAGTTGAGTGTTGAACTTGGTCGGAATGTCTCTTACTCCAGGTATATGGTAGGAGTTAATATCTTTAGATTTAAGAAAGCCATTCTCGTCATATTCCAAGGTCTCCGATACAAGCATTCCAAACGCCTGTAATGTGAATCACATATAACATATTCACAAAATATAATCATGTCAAAAACTTAGCAGACTGGTAGGGAACAATTTATGTATTAACCAAAAAAGACTTTACCTATAATTTATAAAATATCATCAAACCATATAAGAAAAACTGTTAATTCCTTGATTTTTCCTTTGTAACTATAAGGCGCATAATTTTCAATGAAAAACTTTAGTTTTAACGTATAATATTAGGGAGTTTAAGATTGCAATGTTTTTCACAACCTAAACGCGAACGGAAAATATTTAAGCGATGCATTTTTATGGGCGATTGGTCATACGCATAGGTTGGCGTTTCTTTTTTTTATTATTGATGTGCAAGTTTACCATGACAAAGGCTCCATCAATCTGTCCAATGTCTATAGCAGGATTCAAACTGCGACCCAAATCCATTGTGGCATCTACACGTATAACCTTTAAGGGGAACGATTATTATTTCATCATATATTATAATAAACACAAAATGACATTATAAAATGTCACAACCTTGTAACAAATTGCAAATTGTAACAGACGCCTAGCTCCGAACGCCGGACGCCAAACGCCGAACATCGTCGACAAAAAATTGAATTGTATATTTGTAAAGTATTAGACATTATTTGTACATGTATAAGCAATACTTCAATACTTTTATAGTACCAATGTCATGAAATTGCATGGTTTTCAAATATATTTTCGTTGCTTCAGGGGCGTAGCCAAGGCCAGGATGAAAACTTAGGCTTGATATATACATGTACTTCATTTTTAGCTTGAATAAATATATTTCTGTAAAATTTTGGTGGAGCCCTTGCATCGGCTGTCTCATGTCTGGCTACACCCATGTGTCCCATGCCCTCTGCCATGTTCGGGTATACGCTTGCACTTACTCTATTAGCCCCAGTGAGGCAGTCCACTTCCACCTCAGCCATTGTGGCACCACACACGAAGTATTTTTGCCCCTTTCCCCCATCATAGGGATTTTGAAAGTTCAGAACATACTCTGGTCCGCGATCATAGAAGCCAGTAGCAGAGAGACTAGTACAGTTTAAGTAGGCATGCATTACCTAAAGTATATTGTATAGATTTTACATGTTCACACTTACAGGTACATTACTAAACGCTCCATTTTGACCTGTTAATTGTCTATCGTGATCATGTTTTACTAATAATGGAAAGAAGATAATTATTATGATAGCAACCATATCATTACAAAGATTGTGAAAAGGAAATATTTGTTCAACAAAGCTCCTTGTTTTGGACTCTCTTGTTAAGTAAAGTGAAATTCTTGATTTCGTAAATCTTTCCAAACATCTAAAACATGAGTAAAGCGAGCAGCTGTTGTATTTATAGTTACCCAGTTCAAATATAAATAGGAAATATTGGAGATTCCAAGAAAATCCCAGGCCCACATCAAGATCACCATCCACGTTAATATATATTTTCAAATACCATCTCAAACCAGAAACACCACAACAGAAAATATTGGGTTAGAATACTATTCCAAACCTCTCATTAATCACATACCCACATCGCCCAAGGCTTGTCTGGGCTATTGCGTTTATATGGCTCCAGTCTTTTAACTAGCGTTTCACACGCATCCTACAACAATAAAAGATAGTAAACAATAAATATCTATGTTGAATAAAATGATATATGCAAAATAGTAAGTTAAATTTTAAGAATGTATATCATGAGCCGGGGAGAGGCGTAATTTGAACGGGTTGTTTATACCATTGACCATTGATTAGGTATCGTCTTTCAAGATGACTGATAGATATCATTAGAGCGTTTGGAACACAATTCAATATATACTTAGTCTATTACTTACTTTGACAACCATACCAAAGAGATCCGTCCCATGGCAAGCGGCTGTCATTAGAGCGTTTGGAACACAATTCAATACTATTACTTACTTTGACAGCCATACCAAAGAGATCAGTCCCATGGCTAGCGGCTGTCATTAGAGCGTTTGGAACAAAATTCAATACTATTACTTACTTTGACAGCCATACCAAAGAGATCAGTCCCATGGCTAGCGGCTGTCATCAAGGCGTTTGGGATACAAGTCAATATTAACTATTACTTACTTTGACAGTCATACCAAAGAGATCAGTCCCATGGCTAGCGGCTGTCATTAGAGCGTTTGGAACAAAATTCAATACTATTACTTACTTTGACAGCCATACCAAAGAGATCAGTCCCATGGCTAGCGGCTGTCATCAAGGCGTTTGGGATACAAGTCAATATTAACTATTACTTACTTTGACAGTCATACCAAAGAGATCAGTCCCATGGCTAGCAGCTGTCATCAGAGCGTTTGGAACACAATTCAATACTATTACTTACTTTGACAGCCATACCAAAGAGATCAGTCCCATGGCTAGCGGCTGTCATCAAGGCGTTTGGAACACAATTCAAATATATATTATTACTTACTTTAACAGCCATACCAAAGAGATCAGTCCCATGGCTAGCGGCTGTCATCAAGGCGTTTGGAACACAATTCGTGTCTGTTCCTAATACGTGGATTGCCTCACATGGTATCTCTAGCACTCGGCTGGCAACCTAAAAATGAATGGCGGTTTCAAAAGATATTGTTGGTTTCAAGAATCATCGTTTGGAATTTTTGGGGTTTATTTTCCTTATGGCTCGATTTGTTGCTCATATAATTTTCTTTTTTCTTCCCGTGTTTTGTAACATTCGTTTATCCCTTCCGGATCCAATTTTGCACAAGTGCTTAAACTTTTATAACCACTAAAACGTTATAAAGACAAAGTTGTTCCAGAGGTCACTCTATGATAAGGAAAATACGCTCCACGGCATTGTCCCAAAGTACTATTTTATGTGAATTATTGTATTGTTAATGCTACCTTTTGTTAAGTATGGGGGTTTTGTCTGACAGTGTAACACAGCCTTCACAGAGCTACAATTTTTCAGTTCAAACATTTTAGATTTCATACTTCCGATACTGTACGAGACCGAACTAAATATATACATGTCGTCTTAAAACCCCAATGGCGATTTGAGGTTCTTCGATTACGCATAATCCGTGGTTAAGACAACATCAACATCATTGCCATGAGAACATATCACAAACTGCAACAATTTGTTACGGACGTGGAAAGACGGTAACAAAAACATATGAAGCGATCTACCTGGATAATCTTTGTATGTAGACCTTGTCCCATCTCTACACCACCATGGCTGATCCACACCGAACCGTCCTTGTAGATGTTCACTAGTGCTGCACCCTTAATAATTGTATATAATAGTATAATACCGCTACCATTATAACTATTATAATATATACAATATGCATTGATCATAAAAGAGAGAACATGGAATATACATAAAATGATTTATTTATAACTATTATAATATATACAATATGTAGATGTAGAAGTTCACTAGTGCTGCACCCTTGATAATTGTATATAATAGTATAATACCGCTACCATTATAACTATTATAATATATACAATATGCATTGATCATAAAAGAGAGAACATGGAATATACATAAAATGATTTATTTATAAATAATTTGAGGAATATTCACGAAAAACTAATGAATGATGTTATTATATGTATATATATATACCTGTGCAAAAGGTCTGACTGGAATTCCTAATTCCCTGTATACTGGTATGGCACTCAAACCTCTCTTGGTCCACTTAGAAGCACTATAATGAGACCAACATACAGTTCACTCAACCAACCCATAATATGTAACAATATGATAATATGAAAGCACTGAACAAAATAAATTGATTGTCACACTATTATCCACAGTATTTTCTCACTGTTAATGTCAACTAACTACATTTAGCTCCACCTTTACACATGTAAAATGTCGTACCATATGTTTAATACAAAATTCAAATGAATTCGTTTAGTGTTAACGTTGAACGATTGTGGTTTTATGTGAAAAGTAGTTCTTATCTCAAATCGCACCAAATCTGTAACTTGCACCATTTGAGTTTTCCAAATTCATAAGTTACAGGGCAAGATCAAATAAAAATATGGTCTCTCTCACATTTTAGTATACAAAAAAGCCACTTCAATAACTACAGATTTCCTGTTAAAATAACAACATACTATCAAAAGACCTGTTTTATACGTATTATGACACGAATTTCTATACGACATCCTAACTCATTACTTGTGTACCTGTTGAATTTGTCTACTTCTGCCTTTCTTTTGTAATAGTCGCCATTGGTTAGACAAGTGTCCCAACAGACTTTCAAACTACCTGCATCATTAAGCTCCCTGTTATAGAAAGTGCGGTCCCCAGTTTTATACATATTGATCTCATGCACCTAAAACCAAAACGTAATTCTTTTGAAATTGTAGTACCCACAAAAAGGAAGTCAATGAGTATAACAAGCACAACAAGGAAGATAAAACCTTAAAGAACAACCAAGTATAGGATAGAACAAGGCATTAATATTCAAAATGTCACCGCACGCCATTTGTTAATGAAGTCGAACGCCAGATGCCAATTCCGCCGTCACCAAAAACTTTTGGTGGTGACACAAAAATCAATATCTCAAAACTATGGTCTACATTCTTAATATTATAGATGTTATTCAAATCTAAGCTTATATATATGAGAATTTTTCATGACTGTGCCTTGTGTAGCTAATTTCTCACCCCCAACACTTTAAAAAGCATCTGCAAGAAACCTATGGTAGTTAGACAAGCCATTGAGGATTCAATGTGCTTTCAAACATGTCATACCTGAGTGCTTGGTAAATTGAGCTTCACTGTGACGTCATTCATAATTGTTTGCATTAGTAGAGCCAGTGGGGGTGACATAAAACCCCTCATAGCACCGCTAGGGTTTATGTTTGTCAAGCATACATTGGCAGATAGTTTAAAATTGTCTATCTTGTATCCACTATCAGCTGCTAAGTTAAGTAAGCTCGCAATGGCCAACTACAAATGCAAAATTTCACAAAAGGTCCCTTTAAAAATACAAGGCTATGATTAGCCTTCTTCAGAAAGATGAATATATTGATTTCGCTTCATTAATGCAGTTTCAATTGTTTCAGTGGAAGATCGCTTTGTTAATAAAATGTGTATACCAGTGCTATGATATGCAATTGAAACATATCTATTTATATTATATACTAATATACTTAAGGGGTAAAATCTCAATAAAATGACATACGTTTCAATGGAATATTTCTTCGAATGGACTACAGTCCCCCTCCATAATTTTGGCAATCGAATCACATTTTAAACCTGTTTAATATTTGGCGATTCAAATGCATATATATGTTTCATGAATTTTCGAAATAATGTAATGAAGGAAGGCTTTCATTTATCCTCTCAATGAAATATTCAGACTCCAAACTTTTGATGGGGGGTGTATATGCCAAATTAGTGGAATACATTTCAATTGGAAATATGAATTTCTACTCACCAATCCATACATGCCAGGGGTGTAACCAGCATTGATGTAGAAGTGTACTTCCTCAGCAACTATTTTACCAGATTTCAAACAACCTATCTAAATACATTTGAAATGAATGTTACATTGCATGAATGCCTTGCATCTCATCTTCCTGCATATGGAAAAATACCATGCATCTTCTTGCGTCTATACATTGAACAATGCCTTGCATCTTCTTGCATCAATATACGGAATAATGCCTTGCATCTTCTTGCATCAATATATTGAATAATGCCTTGCCTCTTCTAGCATCAATATATTGAATAATGCCTTGCATCTTCTTGCATCAATATATTGAATAATGCCTTGCATCTTCTTGCATCAATATATTGAACAATGCCTTGCATCTTCTTGCATCAATCTATTGAATAATGCCTTGCATCTTCTTGCATCAATATATGGAATAAGGCCTTGCATCTTCTTGCATTAATATATGGAATAATGCCTTGCATCTTCTTGCATCAATATATGGAATAATGCCTTGCATCTTCTTGCATCAATATATTGAATAATGCCTTGCATCTTCTTGCATCAATATATGGAATAAGGCCTTGCATCTTCTTGCATTAATATATGGAATAATGCCTTGCATCTTCTTGCATCAATATATGGAATAATGCCTTGCATCCCCTTGCATCAATATACTGAACAATGCCCTGCATCTTCCTGCACCAATATATTGAATAATGCCTTGCATCTTCTTGCATCACTATATGGAATAATGCCTTGCATCTTCTTGCATCAATATATGGAATAGTGTCCTGCATCTTCTTGCATTGATATATGGAACAATACCTTACATCCCCTTGCATCAATATACTGAACAATGCCCTGCATCTTCTTGCACCGATATATTGAATAATGCCTTGCATCTTCCTGCATCAATACACTGAATAATGCTTGCATCTTCCTGCACCAATATATGGAATAATGCCTTTCTTCTTCTTGCATCAATATATTGAATAATGCCTTGCATCTTCTTGCATCAATAAATGGAATAAGGCCTTGCATCTTCTTGCATCAATATATTGAATAATGCCTTGCATCTTCTTGCATCGATATATGTAATAATGCTTGCATCTTCTTGCATCAATATATGGAATAATGCCATGCATCTTCTTGCACCACTATATGGAATAATGCCATGCATCTTCTTGCATCAATATATTGAATAATGCCTTGCATCTTCCTGCATCAATACACTGAATAATGCTTGCATCTTCCTGCACCAATATATGGAATAATGCCTTTCTTCTTCTTGCATCAATATATTGAATAATGCCTTGCATCTTCTTGCATCAATAAATGGAATAATGCCTTGCATCTTCTTGCATCAATACACTGAATAATGCTTGCATCTTCCTGCACCAATATATTGAACAATGCCTTGCATCTTCCTGCACCAATATATGGAATAATGCCTTTCTTCTTCTTGCATCAATATATTGAATAATGCCTTGCATCTTCTTGCATCAATACATTGAATAATTTAGAGTATATGAGGTAATTTGTACAATTGAGAAAGTGCATTTTGTGCGACAACATTACCAAAATTCTTCTGATCACAATGCACATTGCAGTCAAAGATATCATACGTGTATTTCTTCCATAAAATTTCAGAGAATGTTGCAGTCTGGTGAAAAATAGTGTGCTCGTGCAGTGCTATATTAAATACCTTGTATTTAGCATTGATCGGATGTCTCTTACTGGTGAATTCCATATCAGTAGCCCTGTCTAACACCAGCCGTGTTGGTTTGTTAAATCTAGATGAAAAAATGCTCATTTAAATTACATAGTATTTTACTAAAGTATTAAATACTGATTCGGATGATTTTAAGTCAACCTTTTAGTATTTAACAATAAACCATTTAACAGCACATAGGGATATTTGACCATTTTTTATTGATGTTTCTTCGCTCAGAAATTTGCATATATCTTACATAATCAAATGAGGAGCTCACCTGAGAGCGACTATAGAGGCAATGGTAGCCAAACATAGTGGGGTAGCCTCCTTACCCCCAAACCCTCCACCAACCCGCTTTGTCTTCACGGATATCCTGTTCTGAGGAATCCCAAGCAGATCACTCGCTCCATCCTAAATGAAATTGATGACGGATTATAAAGGGCGATGCTGTATCGCAATGATGGAAAGGTACATCAAAGTTGTAACTTAAATGTAAGGAACATTATTTTCAGAGGTAAGCCAAGAGAGATTTTTAGCTTTAAGCTGTATGTGTTACGCGGTAAACACGATACAAATATATGTCATATTCCGCAACGAATATGGCATATTTTCTTGCGGTGTATGACAGATTCACCTGGGGTATATGGCATACTCACTAACCAATGAGAACGTGATACGGAAGTGGGTAATTGTCAATTCCATCGATTGAACAAACGGGTAAAAGTTTATAAATTATTGAAATGATTACTGAATCATCAGTACAGTGCATTGAATATATCAACTAATGCAAAAGTATCACTCAGCAATCTCACGTGGTAAACTTACTCAATAAATCCAGGATTCATATATTACTACCCGAAGCACTAACTATATTGGTAATCCAGCGTAGTTTTACATTTAGAGTTGATTCTGGCAACACTTCACTGCGGAATATCCCATACTCACCTGCGGAATATGCCATACACCGCAGGTGAGTATGGCACATTCATCCGTATCACAAATACCGCGCAACCATTAATATATGCTATATTCCGCGTAACAGTATGACCACCTTACACTGATGCAAACAAGTTCAAAAATTGTCATACTATATCTACATTATTTTTGGCACCAGTTATGACAAAAATGGCCATGTCAAGGCCCCATTGGATTCTATATAAAAATCATAGCTTCATCCCAAAACATACTTTGGGAGTATTAAACTTTTTCTTCAATTCACAGAAATACTATATACTTCACATTTTGAAAATAAAAATTAGGGATAGGTGTAGATTTTAGTGTGAATTTGAATTTGAACTTTGAATTTGATATTTGTAAATAATTTTCCACCTTGTCCAGGGACATAGGCTTGTCTGCTAGGTCTACTAGTATTTACTTTGAAATATGGTAATATTTCTCATTTTGAATTGTTTCTAAATTGTCCCCAAACAAGACAAAAAATTACAAAAAACACCGTGCTCTTTTAAACTCCAAGCGTGTTATGAAGAACATCAGGCATTATCCAGTCCTGATATGTTTGTATCATTCAGACAAAAAGAAACAATAGTTTTGATTTAAAAGCCTACCTGTAAGTCTGCTAACCCCTGTGTAGATGCTATTATCTCCAATTCCTGAGCCTCTCCCGTTGGTACAACCCTACATGACTGGGGCTCCATGTATAAGTGTTCTTGTCCAGCCATTTCAAGTTCACCTTAAAGATGTTTTGAGAGTAATTTATTTCATATCCTTCATCGATACAATTTGAAAAATGGTATTTAGTATATGTTTAACTGTTCACTGAGCTTGTATTCCGGGCGCGAATGCAACTTTCAATGACGGCTGTCGGCTTATTCTATGACCGACTCATTTAAATATGAATGGAATAGTGGCAGGTACTATTGATATTTAAATGAGTTGCCCATTAAATAGTAGGTTAATCCGGTAGCCGACAGCCGAATACAAGCTAAATTGGTTCAGCGCGTTCTACAATTTTCGCTATAATAACTTAAAGGTAATGAAATTTATTTGGACTATTTTTTTATATTTATGTACACCCCTCCATAAGTTCTGCAACTGGTAGTCCCCTTTGACTCATTTATCAAATCCTGTTTATGTTTGGCGCTTTAAAAATCATGAAATGTGTCATTAATATCCGAACTATTTTAATTAAGGAATTAAGGAACATTGACAGGCTTTAATATGCTGTTCAATAAAAACCTCCGGTTCCAAACTTATGGAATGGGGAAGGGGGGGGGGGTGTATAATTCAAATCATTTATGTAATTTTTGTTTTGTTCAGTTTACCTTCTATTATTGCATCTGCGTTTGCAAAAGCTGCATCGACGTCTCCGTGTTTTATTACTGAGCAATTTGGTAACATGCTATTCATCTTTATTGCATCCTACAAAGTATATATTAAATATATATAACAAATATTAACCATGTTCATGTCTATTGTCTGAACACTGAGTGCCTTGTCAACATTGTGTTGAGACACAAATAAATCTAAATTTTTCGGATGATTATAAAAGAAACTGCGATTATATAAAAGGGATATGATTTACCTCTATGGTTAAAACTGCAGGTAGATTCTCGTACTCAACAATCACATGCTTCACTGCAACTCTAGCCTGCATCTCTGTTTCAGCGACTATTGCTCCAACAACATGGCCTCCATATTTTACCTACAAAGGGATACAAAACTGGGATCAGAATATCATATGTATATGATTAGGCTTTATCTTACAATTTTAAGCTTTTTTTGATCAAGAGATGTTCACATTATTTAATTCTTGTCATACGATACATGACACAAAACATCATTTACTAGTTTGCAATGCTTGTCAATCATTACATATTTAGCATGTTAGGCATTTATTCGTATTAATTGATAGAGGATCAATTAGGAATTTGTGCACATGTATTTTATTTATTCATTCATTTAGTATTTCAAAAATTTGTAATTTTTCAACTTCCACCCATTGCAGATCTTATTTTTTATTTTTTATTTTCCTATTTGTACAACATTCTGACTTAACCTTAAGATTTTGTCATTTAAATGACTGGATTCCAAACACGTTTCTCAAAAGGTATTTGATCAAAAACGAGGGGAGATAGGCAGGACATCCTCACCTCTTCATTTGAAAATATATGTTCCGCATGTCCTGATTGTTGGTTAGGAATGTCAGCAAAACTGAGGAATCCTTTCACACCAGGCATGGACTCTGCTTTAGATGCATCGATCTTCAAGATCTTTGCGTGGACTCTCTTACTTGTGATCAAAACAATATGAAGTTCATCTAAATAGAAAATTGAATTTAGACATCATATACACGGAATAGTTCTATCTTAACGAGCTCTAAACGCCAAAATTAATGAATTATTAAAAGGCTATCATTTAAAGACATTGTTTAATTGTGTGATTACGCTTTTAGATGTTTGAGGGTTGTTTTCTCATAACTGGTAGTTCGCTTAGTTTCATTTTCATTTTCCCTTTCTGTATTTTGCATTTTTTATACTTTTGCACTTGCTACCATACTTCTGCTATACATACTTTTGTATGCTGGTAAGTCATCACAGTATACTGCTTCGCCTGTCGTCTGCTGTAGTGCTCCTTTGTGTACAACAGGTCTCCCTACGGTGTCAATGGCAGCTTGGTCAGCAGGTACATCTTCAAACACCTCACTAGCTTCACTCAACGGGTGACTACGTACACTCGACATATCAGGAGACTGGTCAGGCTGAAATTATATGATGATACTCAAGTCAATAACCCAAATGCGAGTAGGTAGTTACCAGTTTCACCACCAGGTGGCTCGCTCGGGTCAGATAGCATGGCGGGTATAGTAGAAAGTTCCCTTTAACTTAAATTACATAGGTTTTATCTAAATAGAAAATTGACCTTAGACATCATATACACAGAATAGTTCTATCTTTACGAGCTCTAAACGCCAAAATTGAATTATAAAGCCCCTATGCATCGAATAGTTATGCAAATTAAAGTATGTCCAGTAAAAGAAAATATTATATGTCCAATACAAGAAAAGATATTTCACTTTTTGTGATTTTGTAATATGGGGTCTATGGGGAATCAACCCGAGCTAGAAGTCACATTTTTAAAAAATATTAAATTTTCAAAGTTGATAAACAATTTTTGAAACCATATTTTAGATGTATTTTTACATGTAGATTTCAAATATGACATCACTTTGACTGAATTTTGAATATTTAATGACGTTAATCAAGATCATTTCTACTCGCATCTAGTCTATTGGTTTAGATATTTGTGCCCTCATTTTCTAGATGGCTCACAAGTAGTTACCAAGGTTAGTCTTTACAGATAACCTATACTGGAGATTGTTCCCTCGAAACCAGTTTCAATTTTGGGGGGATTTCTTTGACCACTGCACTTCGTAAACAAAACCAAATTATTGAAAGTAGTATTCATGATTTACGAGCATTTTGTAGAGAGCTAGAGAACACTATGGCAATGGACCAGCTGGGCTTATAACCTTAAATACCTCAACGGGTTGACTTAAAGACTTAAAGGATGATTCTATACAGAAGAATGCCAAAAGGCACATTACATCAGACTGGGATAAAACATATATCCCATTGTTTCTGAAGGATAACAGCCTATAGCACAATGATGCCTAGGCCGAAAGAGAGCGATTTTCTTTCACCAAAGAGTTAGTCTAGAATTAATATCTCCAATAACTCACCTGTGATTGAATTATGGCGTTAACTTTCAGGTAAAACTTGATGAAAAGACTTGAGACGAGTGCTTTCTTGTAATTGACACTTCCATCTGCGTTAAGTGTAACATCAATGTCACTCTCCAACAGATCGCACACAAATGTCACAACATCATTATTCCAATTCCTACAAATATTCGTAATATTGTTGTTTTATTACCGTTTCTTTAAGAGGTATGGATGCCGCAAGTTTTGGCCCAAGACATCATAATAAGCTGGTCACTTCCTGGGTGTACATGTAATCTGACGACATTTGGGTAAGTTTGGATGCATATGACTGAGGTTTCTCGCCAGTTCTGGCACATTAAATAATGGTTTTGAATCCTAAAGTTCATCATTTTACTGTAATTTTGAAATACGGTAACTCAATTTTGATGGAATCTCGACCATTGCCTTATACCAATTGAAGGTTCAATGCATGGTCCAGTTTTTATACCACCATACTTGACAAATGTACTGAACTTGTCATGTTTCTTGGGAACACTATGGCAAAACGATTATCTTACTTTCCACGTGTTTCTTGTTTCACGTTTGATGCAAGTTGACTGGAAGGGCCCACTCCCCCATAACACAGCACAAGATCATCAATAGTGTTGGACTCTGCATTCAGTTTCACTTTCATCCCGCAGTTCACTGTCGCTAAGTTGAGATCTGTTCTTGGGGCATGCTTATGCCAATATAAGTGTTCACCCTACAATGAATGAATAAACGCAAGGAGCTCACGCGTCTCGAACTCGCAACCTCGTGGTTACGGTTATTCAGAAGGAAAATGCCGTCGTTTATAGTGTCAGAAGTGTGATTTGACCGTACTGATATTATCATATCAAAAGGTTGTATGAATTAATCATAAGCATGGTCATTTTGAGAGAAAGTGCAGTTACCTGTGTCAGATATGGAATATTAACTGACGTGATGATCTGTTGTTTCAGTAACAAACAACTCCCATCATCAGCCACCAATTGAGAGATTGCTTTACATTCTGTTGATTTGTCTGGAACAATATAAGAAACGATATTATATCGGTAGTATATTGCAAATATTTTAACACGACAAGTTCAATGAGGAAACGATTACCAAAAATGCTATAGAAATGCTATTCAAAGTACTATCACATATGACTTTCAATTGAAATAGTTTAACTCATTACCTTGAGCATTTATAATATCTGCAGTTGCACCCATAGCCATGAGTAGTGTAAGAACATCTGAACGACCACCTCCACTCGCAATGTTACTTCCTATGCTCTGTAATATATCAAATATATAGATATGCCACTGACTGTAAGACATTTGTTGCCAATACGACTTATAATTTAGAAAATGTGAAGGCACCCTGTATCATGACTTCAGGGTCAAATGATCAGGCCCGTAGCCAGGATTTGCCAAGGGGGAGGGGGTCACTTTTTGAAGAAATCCAGGAGGATTCACTTTTGCATTTGGCCACAAATGATTTTGGATGGAGTGGAATGAATACACTTACAACAACATTCCTGAGTTGATGTCCGCCCACTTGATGTAGCATGTCCAAGACGGTCTGTAGACCAAGTTTCTTCTCACCTGTTCAGTATTAAAACAGGTACTATTGAAGCAGGTGAATTAAAAATAAAACTAGTCATTGGTTGTGAAACAAGTAATTCAAAAAGGTAATTACTCTTTACATATTTCATTTTTCATGATGTAATTTTTTACATTTACAGAGATTATATTTTAGAGTACTAGTATTCTTTATCGTTTCTAAACGACCCTTCTCTAGTTAAAATTTTTTCAATTTTTCGATTCCATTGTGACGCTTGGCTTCAATATCAAGTAACACAACCGCAATAAGGACGTACTTCTAGATAATTCATTTCCGTTTGAGAAGTTACACAATAGATATTACGCGTCAATAATAACTGCAGTAACGTATCAGCCAAGGCTGAACTGGGCAGATACCCGCTGCTCATTAATATATTAGTTAGTACTCTAAAATTTTGGTTTCACTTGAAAAAGTCACCAACTGATTCATATTCATTCATTTTTAGTTAACATGAGGAAGACTCACATGAATCAGGGCATTGGAGCTTCTTTTCATTTATCACTCGGATTTTGTCAATATCCAATAAAAATATTGATATACAAAAAATCGATACATGTGATAAAGTCAAAATTGATAATTTAATTAAATCTACAATGACAAATTTAGAAAAAGAATACAAAAGCATGTTTATGCAAGACATCAATAGACCAAATGATGCTCCGGGTAAATTCAGAAGCTATAAACTAGTAAAACATGCATATAAAAGAGAAAGTTATCTTAATTTACAGAACTCCACCTATAGACAATCTATTTCTAAGGTACGGTTATCGATGCATAACTTCCCAATTGAACGAGGTCGATACTTCAAAGTAGAAAAATCGAAACGATTTTGTTTCTTCTGTAATTCAAAAAATATAATAGGTGATGAAGAACATGTTCTTTTCTGTTGTTCTCAATCAGAACTAATACTAGCTCGATCTTTATATATCAGTAAAATAAAAAGTATAAACAATAGTTTTTCTCATTTTAATACAAGAAGTCTATTTTTATACTCCTTGTTAGCGCACGATGATGCAATTAATGAAATAATTGGTGATTATTTTACAAGAGTTCACAATATTACCAAAGAGTTGTTAAACAAAATTGACGTGAAATCATTCTATGCTATTAAGTATAGTACTTAGTGATTGTTAAAATTAGATTGTAAGTATTGTTTTGCCATGCATGTACATAAATGTTTTATTTGTTATTTGCTTTATTGGACTTACATCTCGATGTACATTACATGTTCAAGAGACCAATAAACTTATTAATAAAAAAATAATCGCCTCACCATTTGTATCAGTTGCTATGGTTTCAATGTATTCATACAGCTGAGCAAGTGTAACTGCAGCTCCAACCTTGATTTGAATATCATTTGAGGAAATATCTAGTAATTCTGGCACATGGGACAAACACAAAACAAGCCCCTGTATTCTCTCTGTTCGGATATCCTTACCTGAAAGTAAAGCAAAATGTTGAGTTAGTGTTTTCTTTTATGAGTGTTATTTGACAAACTGAGACGACATTGACAATATAAACAATATATATATACTATATCATTATCAATGAGTGATGAGGAAAAGGGAGCGTGACAGTGTCCTTCTCCATTGGATCCTTATTTGGATATGAGGCATTTGTTTTTCTTATGACAGGTTATTTTATTTTGTGTAATCTAATCATCTAATCTCTTTTAAATAACCAGATATTCATTTTAAAAAGTTGAAAATGTATATATGTGTTTCTTAAAAGCAACAGCCTGTTTTGAACTCACCGACAGAGGTCGCACCAACAGTGAAAACAGCATCTGGATTGTCTTGTTTGAGTTGGCACAGTTCGTTCAGACTGGTAGGTCTGCACCATTGTACTGTTGGACCAGTGAAAGTGATTGTCTTCGTATGATAATTTGTCTTTATCTGGAAGGTAATAATTATACAATTTATAACACCACACCATAAGTGTATTTACTAGCATCTCAGCTAGCATTTTTAACTTAAAAGCCTCTAATCCTGACAATACCTATCCAATTTACATGAACTGTGTTTTAACATGTGTAATGGATCTGTCCATCTATACATGTACTAAAAAGAATATTGCAAATCTTAAAAGTAAATAAGCATACTTTTAATGTTTCATCGTTTAAGCCCTTGATAAAATTATGGTTTCTGTAGACAGTAAATAATTTGATAAAAAATTGCTCAAGTAGACTACCTGTAGTTCACTGGGAAATATAGGATCTTGAGTCTGGTCATATACAGCAAACTCACTGGCATCGAATGTTTTTGTGCAGATCTATGAAGAATATAAAATATGCATGACTTTTAACTGAATTTGGAACTAGATTTGACATCTATGGCTTCACTTATTTTCAAATATGATTTTTTTTAAAATAAACTCAAAGACGTTTCCTAAAAAAAGGTTTGGAAGTATTTCCGAGTCGTAAATCATTCTCTACGAATGACAAACATACCATATTCAAATCGTAATTAACTTGATGATCGTCATTTCAACCATATGAGGAAAGCATTTATTTTCTTCTGTAACATCTAAACAAACTTTCATCGTAACAGTCTTGATTACACATACCACATACCTTACTATTCTGTTCACCTTGTTTCTGATTTTGACAGCAATTCTCGCCCTTTTCGCATGCCCATTCCTGTTATATAAAAACAGATTAGACTCTCATTGACAAATTAAATATTAAAAACATCATGAATTATGAATTATTATTAACAATGTGTATTAGTACAAAGACCTATCAAAACAACAACAATAATTCAAAGTTCACCTTAAATGGACCCGCTGGATTATTTTGCAATAGAATATGAATCAAAATTTGGAATTGTGCTGGAACGCGTCACCATTAGCAATAGGTCCATACGAGGGTTGTCCCAGAAATCTTGAGTTTTTATTTTTCATTTTTTGTGAGATGGACCAGAGAATCAAAAAGGAAAATATTATGTTTAATTTCATGAATATCTACTCTCAAGTGACAAGGTACTGCTACATTTTTTTCAATGTTATAATAAAAGTATAGTTACTTTGCTAAAGGTCCTGAATCCTGCTAAGATAGACCTGTATCCTGTACACCTACATAGGTTACCTGGAAAAATGAGACCATAGTTTTGTCATATTTACACCCCCTTAATAAGTTTGGCAACCGCATGTCGCCATTAATAGAGTCTGAATGTCTGAATCTTAATTTTGTTTCTCACTTTAAAAGAGGTTTCAAATTATGACAAATAATGATTGTTATCATTGCTAAACATCAATTAACACCACGTTTAAACACAATATTATCCAAATGAGCACATAAAAAAGTCATTCCAAAATCAGAGGGTTACATTTTTATAAGTTATTCCTTATTTATTCATTGAACAACAAAGTATCCAAAAAGGCGGCAAGTGCTTGTGTTGACCTATGGCATGACATGCGTGATATGCGTAAAGACTCACCTTGAAATGCAGTCTCTATCCGTGACATAGAGGGTTCGGGGTAGTTGCGTAGCAACGTGTACATTGACATCACAAACCCAGGAGAACAGAATCCACATTGGCTGCCATAAGCCTTTGCTAGTCGTTCCTACAGTGTCATTTAAGAGAAAATTATGACATTCAGGCATTTAACCCAAACCAAACAGAGTGAGAAAGTGCTTTCAATCCCCCCATTTTTCCAAGACAGTACAGTTGCCATAGTGATAACTAAAAAGGGTCATGGGAGATTGTGCAACAGATCTTAGACAGTTGATAAGTTTTTTGCGAGTAGTTTCTGACTGTAAAAAATAAATGCATATGAAAGGTCAATATATAATCTTCAAGAAAAGTTGAAGGAATGATATCAAGATCAATGGGATTATCTCAAGTCGTATTTAATCCACCCATCAACAAGCTTTTTTCAAAATACATTCATCATTTTCACCATCCTCCGCCATTTCTTTTACAGTTTTCATGCAAAGTTACAAAGTACTCCTGTTTCGGAACTACTGTTTTGATACTTGAAAACAATAGCGTAGACATTACTTGATTTATATATACAATTTGAGCCAAATCCCTTTGAGTTATATATAACGGATTTAAACAAGGTGGTGTTTTAGGAGTAAATTTGTTTTTAAAAATAAAATTCATAAATTCATTGAAATATACTTTCTTTGTACTGCACTACCAGGAAACAATAGTTTTGCCATTTATTGATTTATTTTAGCTATGATCGAGTCAAGTGATATGAGTATATGAAAGTTATTAAGGGTGTGAGCAGAGTCTATCTTTTTAAAAAACTATTGTAATTTTTGATGTGATTTTTTGTTTAAAAAATATCTGCACAGAGGATATGCATTTAATTTATAGAAATACGTAGCATCATATAAAATATAAAATATACACCATGAGATTTCAAGACCAGTCAATTTATTCCAATGCCTGCAGGGTGGGAAGGGTCAAATTGACCCTCTAAGTTTTTTATTAGTATTTTTGCAAGCTATTTTTGTGCATCCATTATTCTTCTATTGGACTACAGATAAATTGCAAATTTTTGTGGAATAAAGTAAAAAAAAGTGATCGTAGAGTACAGGTAAGTTAAAATGAAATTCATAAAATATTGATATACATATAGTTATCTTGTTTCTAGCACTGTGGAAAATATAAATTGATATTTATTGTTCTGTTAAGGATAAATGCATTATCTTTTCCACCTGCCATATTTCATGAAAATTGAGGTTTTATTGGACTAGTTTATGAATTTCTAAAAGTAAATGAAAATACAGATAATCAACAAGAAATTGCAAATAACATCTGCTTTACAAAATAATGTTTTTTCAAAAGCTTCTTGATGCATTACGCTTGAATTGTCGTGCACATTCCTGAATCGTTATACAAACTGATGTTACAATTATATGATGTTAATCTAATCAGAATTTTAGATTTTATTGTCTTATTCTCTTCGCCCCATTTTCTAGTTACACATCAAATTTTTGAAAGTGCATTGGTACAATTATAGAAAAGCTTTAATCTTTATTTTACTTAAATTTGAACCATAATTGAAGAAAAATCAGAGTTTCTTGCACAACATATTTCTTTTTAAGACTACATATTACAGATGATTTTTGAATAATATGAATCTCTAAAATGTAATGACTCTTTTTAACATTACACTGTTCGAATTTCATTCCAAAATAGTACAGATTTGTCTCAAATCGAAAATCTAAAAAGTACAGGTTATTACATAAGCCGAATATTTATCCCTTTGACAACATTATTTTATTGTTTCTGTGTATATTCATCTCTCTGGTACATGTAATACATTAAATAACTCAAAAACTGGTAGGATAACTGGTGAAACGTCGAAAATAAAACATTTTAAGTCTCTGGAGTAAATGAATTTGAGTTATTGAATGTATAACATTTATTTTATTTTATTCTGACATTGCAAGATTACTATTGAGATGTTTGATGTCATAAAAATGTTAATATTATGAAGAGACTTCTCTCTCTTCTTAAATAATTTTTGAAAATAGCTCCTTGCTTAAATCCTAGATAACTCTGAAAACCTCGAAGCAATTGCTTCAAAATACTCAATAGAAAATACTCAAGATTACAAGTACTGGGGCTTTTGGTTATCACCAATATAGGTTTTGTTGTACCAGTGCTCGCTAAATATCAAATAACTATAAAATAAAAACAAGAGAGTGATTTTTGAATAAATATATACCTTGAAACAGAAAATGACGTCTTGCTTTTCTTTTGTACCAACATACGAGGCCCGATCAGAAAGTAAGTAACCAACTGCTCTCATTTTTTCATACTTTAATCAATCACATTGAAATTTTCACAGATGATGCAGAAAATATTAACCTATTAAATAAGATCAATGATAATGGATTAGCTTCAATTACATTGTTATGTGTGTTGCTATGGTGACGATTGTTTTGGGTAGGCGGGGCACCCTTTTGAAAGCGGGTTTGGAAGATAATTTTTAGAGTTTTTTGATATATTGTATACCTCCAAATGACCTCACATTTTTATGCAAGACTCCATAATATGTTTTATGTGATTATCACAATAGTAACTACATTCCATTGTCTCATTCATGAGTCATCGACACAAAGAAATCAAGGACATTTTTGTGTCGTAATGATGGTCGCAGATCAGTCACAGTTTCAGTCAAGTCAAATGTCAATGTGGTTGAAAGGGGATTTCCTGGCATGACGACAATGCTCCACCCCAAAGAGCTCACATTACCGAAGATGCAGTAGATGAAGCCTTCCTCATGGCCACACAACTTCCCCAGGCTCCCTAGTCCCCAGACCTGGCCCCATGCGACTAATACATGTACCTCTTTCCAAATGCAAAGATGTCGTTACGTACGTGGAATCCGTTATTGACAGCAATGAAGCCGTCATTAAAGCTTCAATGACAGTTTGCAGCCATTGAATGGTGACCTGATGCACGTCTTTAAGGAAAGAGTGAAACGTTGCCTTAACTGCATTGACTTTGGTAGCGATTATTTTGGGAGAACTAGAAATTAAAATGTAGTCATACATGTACATTGATATATTTGGGGGTATAACAACATGTAGAAAAACTCTACAAAGTATCTTTAAACGTCACTTTCGAAAGGGTGCCCCGCCTATCCAAAACAATTGTCACCATAGCAACAGCCATAACAATGCAATTGACGCAAGCCCATTTCCTTTGATCTTGCTTAATAGTTCAATATTTTCTACATCATCTGTGAAAATTTCAATGTGATTGAATAAAGTATGGAAAAATAAGAGCACTAGGTTACTTACTTTCTGATCGGGCCTCGTATAATCGTAACTGATTTTATCGTATGATCTGGATTATCTCGTAAAATGTATTGGCCTAAGATCACACGATAAAAAAGTTATTGAATGATTGTAAATGCAATACAGGATACATTGGGCTCTCGATGTTCTGTTTTTCTCGACTTCGTCTCGTGTCAATACAGTATTTTTCGAGCACAAAATATCCTGTATTGCACTTCAAGTCATTCAATAACTTATATTCTTGATTGCCGTGTCGTGCAGAAATATGACCAGAAAAACTTTTAAAATGATGATATAAGTTATAACCTTACCTGTACAGGATGTAGCTTTGTTTTTGTACTTCCTATTCCCTCTACTGTGGTGACAGCCAAACCATGCAATGCTACGAGGGGCATCAAGCAGGCATTCACGGTATAGTGTCTGGAGATGTACATTTAATATAATTTAATATAATATAATATATTATCATATCACTATCTAGCTAGCGACAGTATGATTGGTCAAAACCGGGTCATATGTCGTGGGATATCTGGCGATATTCAATGGCAATGCAAATCAGATAAGACAACCGTAAGATATCTAGCGATATCCCACGCTCCCGGGAATTTTCAAAGAATTTGTTTTCGTTCAGTGTAAATAATTTAGTTCAGTGTAAGTCAAAATGGCAGACGAACCGAGTAGATTCGTAAAAATATCTGAAGACTTAATGACTTAATAATATTAGGGATGTTTAGCTAGACAGTGATATAATAAAACAAATTTCATTTCACTCGCTAAAGTGACGAATTTACATATGCTTGCGTTCCAGCCAATAGCGTTTCAACCTCATTTAAATAATGAAGTTGTTATATAAGGGTAATATCCCTTACTATCGGCCTATTTGTTCCGCGCTTTCGACTAGAACACGCCTAAATAGCAAGACTCATTCATGTCCTTTGAGAGTATAATACGGGTCTGCAATTTGTAATTCAAAATTTTTTCAAAATGGCGTGGCGTGGAAAAAAATTTTAAAACTCAATTCTATTACATTGAAATCATAAATTATAACTGGAATAAGTTACAAGGAGATATGTTCTAACTTCACAAAGATGGACAAAGAAAAAACAAACCTTGAAGAAGGTGAATGCTAAGATAGGAATGATGAAAATATTCGTGTAGAAACTGATCATGATGATGATGATGGCTATGATAGATGTTCACAAGTTGATTGCCAAGAATCAAATACTAATAAAAGGACTAGAAGTCCAGATAGGCTGATAGCCAATACAAAAAGAACTAGGAGAAACGATGATCAATTTGTCTTTCATGACAATTTATCAGATGTGAGCTACAGACCTGGTAGGTCGAATAGACATAGCAAACACAAAAAAGGTAAGAAAACATCAAAGTCGTCAAGAAAGAAAAGACATAAGTCAAGGTCTTTTGACACTTCATCTAGTTCAAGCTCAAGTTCATCTTCAAGTAGTGATTCGTCTAGCTCAACTAGCAATAGTTCAGACTCTGACTCTTCTGACTCAGATAGACATAAAAGAAAATCTAAAAAAATGTCAAAGGGAATGTTTGATCCACATGAAGATTTAAAATCAAAAGAATGGTGTTTATCTAAAGACCAAGAGAAATATGTTAAACGTTTCTGGTCTCAAGAACTGTTGTCGATGGATGATATTGACAATATGTTAGAGAAGAATGCTAGACCAAAGTTGAAATACCTTAAACCACCTAAACTTGATAAATACAGTGAGAAAATGTCCTCAAAATCAGCATCAAAATCTGATCAAAGTTGGAAATCTAGCCAGAACAAAATATCTGATGTTATGGGACCGTTGGGTGCCCTCTGGAAACTTTATAACACCAAAAGAGCAGACTTGAACAATGATATGATTAAATTTCTCTTAGATCAATCAGTATTACTCCTAGGACAAGCCTTCCAAATGGTAACCTATTACAGGAGGTTAGAAATCTTGATACCAAATTTTGGCTTTGATAAAAAAAATGGCTAAAAACTTTCTGAGAGAAAATGAGAAAGACATCAAGAAACATGCAACGTTGTTAAACAAGAAAACTTATAAAGCTCTGAAAAATGAAAGCACTGAAAAAATTGAGATGGAAAAAATCAAACGAAATTTCCACAAAAACAAGCCCTTTCAAAGGGGCCCTTCGACATATGGTAGAGGCCGAGGGGCAAGAAATGAACATAACTACAATACAAACAACCAGAACAGAGGTACTGGTAGAGGCCAAGGTGGAAGAGGAAACACCAACAGAGGCCAAAGACCACCCAGAGGTGGAAAAACAAGGTATGTTGAATCTAAATCTGACATCTTATTCAGAACCTTACCCAAACGAGGTGCAGAATCCTCAAACGGAGGGAATGGTAAGTCGATATCTGAAAAAATTAAATTTTCACTCAATCCCCAAAATTCAATATGTAGGGGGAAGAATTGTTTTCCTCGTCAAGAACTGGCAAAAAATAACAAGAAATACAAATATTATCAACATCGTAAAGGGGTACGAGCTTGAATTTATGCAAGAACCAGTCCAGAACAAAACCCCCTTTTGGCCAAACTTCAGTCAAAAAGAAACACAGGAAATGTCAATAGAAATTCAGAATCTCTTAGAAGAAAGGTCAATAGAAGAAAGCAATCCATCAAAAGATCAATTCTTGTCACATCTCTTTCTCAGACCGAAGAAGGACGGTTCGAAAAGAACGATAATAAATCTCAAACCTCTAAATGCCTTCATCAAATATCATCATTTCAAGATGGAGAGTCTGACAATGTTGAAACATATGATAATAGAAAACGATTTCATGATAAAAATCGACTTACGTCATGCTTATATGACCATAGCAATAGCAAAACATCATCGAAAATACCTGAAATTCCAATGGCAGGGGAAAATTTATCAAATGAAAGCATTACCTTTCGGCCTGGGATCAAGTCCAAGAATTTTTACAAAATTGATGAAAGTTCCCATGTCAATTTTAAGAAAGTTGGGTCTAAGAACAATTATCTACCTCGACGACTTGATAATTCTAAATCAGTCCCCTCAAGAATTGCAAAATCAAATGCAAACAACAATTTATCTCCTAACACATCTAGGTTTTCTAATAAATTGGAAAAAGTCCATGACAGTCCCATCTCAAAACATGGAATATCTGGGGTTTCTGTTAAACACTCAAAAAATGACAATAGAATTGCCAAGAGAAAAAGCAAACAAAATTCAATCAGATTGCAAAAACCTATATCATCAGAAACAAGTAACATTGAAAGAAATAGCTCAAATAATAGGCAAACTGTCTGCATCAACAATGGCAATTCTCCCAGCACCCCTTCATTTCAGACATTTACAAATGTTGAAAACACAAGGCCTGAAACGATCCAATCGGTCATATTCAGCAACAGTAACACTCCAACCAGAAATCAAAAAGGAACTCATTTGGTGGGTAACCAAACTAGATCAATGGAACGGTCGAGCAATCAAAATCAGCGAACCGGATCTGATCATATCAACAGACAGCAGTCTGACAGGTTGGGGTTCAGAATGTCAAGGGGAGATAATTCAGGGTCAGTGGAAACCTCAAGAGAAAACTCAACACATCAATTGGTTAGAACTAAAAGCAATTCATCTGTCAGTGATCACTTTTACTCGAAACTTGACAAACAAACATGTGCTGATAAAAACAGACAACATAACCTCAATGAGTCACATAAACAAACTGGGGGGGGGACCAGATCATTGAAACTAATAGAATTAACCAAAGAAATCTTTTCACATTGTCTGAAGAAACAGATCACAATTACAGCAGAATATCTTCCAGGGAAAGCCAATCTGATAGCAGACAATGCATCACGAGTATTCAAGGACTCGTCAGATTGGATGCTGGACAAGAACATTTTCTCACAACTGAACAAAATATGGGGACCAATGAAAATAGACCTCTTTGCAAACAGAATGAATGCTCAGACAACCAAATATTACAGCTGGAAGAAAGATCCTTTCTCGATAGCGGTGGACGCATTTACACAGAGTTGGAGAGATCAACTGCTGTATGCCTTTCCTCCCTTTTGCCTTATAAACAGATTACTAGAAAAAGTAAGGAGGGAGAAAGCAGATTTAGTTCTGATAACCCCAATATGGCAATCTCAACCATGGTACCCACAACTGATACAAATGTCAATCAAAAATCCAATACTTTTACCAACTTCAGAGAACTTACTGAAATCTCCACAGAATCAATCACACCCACTAATCAGTCAAAACAACATGCAACTAGCGGCATGGAAAATCTCAGGTCACATTATGAAACAACAGGTTTTTCAAAAAATGCTTCAGAATTCATCATTAAATCTAGAAGAAGAGGCACAACAAATGCTTATAACTACACCTGGGGAAAGTGGGAAAGTTGGTGTACTGAACGGGGAATTAATGCATTTCAATCCCCTCTGGCAGATGTAGCCAATTTCCTAACATACCTCTATGAAACAGGTAAGGAATATCCTACTCTTAATAACTATAGATCAGCAATCTCAGCATATCATGAACCAATAGAGGGAATTAAGGTAGGACAACACCCAACAATCTCCATGTTAATGAAGGGTTTCTTTAACACAAAACCACCAAAACCAAGATATGGTCATACTTGGGATGTAGGTTTGGTCTTGAATCACATAAATGACTTAGGAGATAATAAAACTCTTAGTAGGAAATCTCTTTCTCAAAAACTATCCATGTTAATGGCTCTAACAAGTGCATGTCGAGGATCAGAACTGTCTAAAATGAATCCACAATTTTTCATTGATAAAGGGTTCGAAATAGAAGCCCCCACAGATGGACTTTGCAAAACATCAACACCTAAGAAACCATATAATGTTCTGATTTTTCAAAGTTTCATAGAAAATCCCAACTTAGATGTTGTCAAATGTATCAGAGATTACTTAGAAATGACAAGTGAACTTAGGAAAACTGAACAAAAAAAATCTAGACTGTTCATATCAAATGTTAGACCATTCAATCCTGTAGTAACTTGTACAATAGCAGGATGGCTCAAATCTGTTATGGAACAGGCAGGTATAGATACTAAAACTTATAAAGGTCACTCTACTAGATCTGCAGCTACTTCAAAAGCATGGACTAGTGGCATGTCGATCAATACAATTGTCAACACTGCCAACTGGTCCAATGCTGAAACTTTTCACAAATTCTATAAAAGGGAAATTGTAGACTTCTCATCATTAGTATTGAGGTGAGCTCTATCTTTGAACAAGCATATGTAAATTCGTCACTTTAGCGAGTGAAATGAAATTTGAAAATTTCATAAGAATCTCGTTAATGAAATTTGAATTTCATGAACAAGATAAAGTGACGAATTTACATACATAATCCCTCCACAGCCCTCCCACATTACATAACATTAATTACTTATTGTTATGCTTTCAGGGGATAGCTCACTCAACATAATGAGGACAGAGGCCTAAAGGGCGATGTATAAACTTTTTGGAATCCCACAAATCCATATCTGGTAGAAGATATTGTACTCTCAAAGGACATGATTGAGCATCAAACTTTACTCCCACTGGAAGTGGTAGAGAAGGACCTGTCGGAATGTTACGATAGACTTGTAAATAATCGAATTATGATACTTCACAGGAAATGAAGTATATTACAGTAACAACTTTAGATAACTTCACAAGTAGTGAAGGAAGATCAACAGTTTCACATACAGTATATGGTAAGATGAAACAAAACCTTATTGAAAATTTCATGAACAAGTACATAATTTTAATCCACCATGGAATTATGTGTTTATCCCACGGGATAATCTTATTTTAATTTTATTCTGTCGAAAGCGCTAAATAGACCGATAGTAAGGGATATTACCCTTATATAACAACTTCATTATTTAAATGAGGTTGAAACGCTATTGGCTGGAACGCAAGCATATGTAAATTCGTCACTTTATCTTGTTCATGAAATTTAAATTTCATTAACGAGATTCTTATGAAATTTTCAAATATTTCACTCTATTTTCGGTGAATACCTGTAGCACTTTCACAAGGTGATATTCCACTTGCCCTTCGGGCTTCGTGGAATATCACTTGTGAAAGATGTACAGGGTATTCACCTCAATAGAGTGAAATATTTGTTCAATATACAGTACGTATAAATAATATAACACATTATACTACAATATAATATAATATGATATAATATATTATAATATAATATACATGTATTAATTAATATTTCGAGTTCCCAGACCAAGCGAAAAGAAAAGTCACTGATTTTGCATTAATTTGCTCAAGCCTTGTAAAAGATAATTACAACCAAAATAAATCTGGTAATTACGTTAACACAGTGTCATAAAAGATGACAGAAATACTTACCGTATGTTTTTATTGGTTGGATTGTAGCAAGAGACCATCACTGTACACGCGCCGCAACCCCCCTCCCCACAGGCCAACTTGGTGCCGGGCAAGCATACTAGTTGCATAGTTAAGGAATATGAAGTATAAATAAGAATGACAGTATCGTCTTGAAAATGACATATGACACACCCTGTAGCATTAAGTACTTTTTGCTGTAAAGGGGTCCTGTCGTTTTCTTTGACACCCTGTATATAAGTAAATGACAGTTTGAACACACTTAGCATTTTATGACAATTTGGCGATATCATGGAACTGCTCCGCATACCCCTGACCACTGTAACCATGACAATCGTAACTTTAACACGTTTAGACTATATGTTATAAAAGTTGGTAGATGTATTGTCATATAGTTCCTCTACAATCTGTAGCAATTTCATTACAAAATACCTAAATCTCTTAAAGTTAGAGTGTTTGTATCTTTACTTTCCGGACACCCTGTAGGTAACCTTCAAGGCCCGTTAATCCATATGATCCAAAAGGATGTATGGTTAATTCTCTCTTAGTGATGAAGCATTGTGGGATCAAACGGAACATTCATATTGTATAAAATCTTGAAGATCATAGTGTAAATCTTCCAATCCTCCAAAAATTCTCAAAATATTCATCCCTATTAATTTTACTCGGATTCAGTTGCGGCCATTATTCTTTATTTTGAATTTTATCTAACATACACTGCAGACACATGTATACGTGATAAAAATGCTAATAACAAAAACATGTTTGGCAGCAGCGATAACGAAAAGGAGGCATTAGGAAACATATAGACGTCAAAATACAACTCGTTGAAATTACAAACGAATAATTGATAATCAAACTGAACTTGTTCAGATATTAAGATTCAGAATAAGGCAAGTATTCTCTCTCTGAGTGACAAAGAACTTGAACAAAACGATACCCTTGATTCACACTCGCCCATTTGTGAATTCTCATTTTGTTTGATTTTTAATGATCAAAATATGCAACATATAAGAATTGAAATACAATTTGACACCATTTTATAATGTACACCGCCAATTTAAATAAATAATAATTATTATAAATAAATAAATATAATTATATTCACCAATTACAACGTGACAGACAATGTGGTTAATAAAGGATACGTTCTGTTCTAAGGTATTGTAGAAGAGTTGTCTCGGCACTAGGTTTTGTTACTTCATGCTGAAAGATTAGAACAGAAAAAACAACATTAAAAGTAGCTTCTGGATCCGCTAAGTGCTACATACATTTAAATGGTTTGGCCATAACATATTAGATTAAACAGTCAGCCATCAGTTGAATTCGCGAATTCTACCTGTGCTTGACAAGTCATAAATAACATAACATTTTTAAATTGAGGCAAACATTTGGTCGCCAATATTAGATTCAATCTTTGCAAAGTTGAACCACTATGGAATGAGCTGCTGAAAGTCTTAAAAGTCCTTAATAATAACCCGAATTATGAAATGCTAATTTGAACGAGTTCCTCAAAATGATTAAGATGGAGCAAAATATTCACCAATATGAAATCTCTCAGAATGCAATTTTTCAAGTCACGTGTTTCAGCGTTGAAGACTCTGGTCAGTTGCGTGATAAGACTTTATCTTTAAAAATATTCACAATTGAAAACTCACGTGTTTGTATTTGATTTTATCGTGAAAACATCATGTGTAAGAATTTATAACCGTACTGCAAAATCAATAAAAAAAACATTACAGAAAGTGCCTGTCATGATATAAAACCGGAATGGTAGACGATATCATTGTGTATATTTGTTTTATAGTGCATACATTATATATTATATATTTTTTCTTGTTGAATTGATTTATAATTCTTGTACTTAAAAATATTAAAATCTATTCTCGAATTAATTCTTTTAACGTACATGCCTTCTTACGGACATCAATTGCCAACTTTGTATGTACACATAAACATAAATAAATGCATATCTAGTTAAATAATAGAATATAAAAGTGTAGACTCGCCTTAATTCCATTCACGAAGACAACCAGTGTGTCTCCCTCCATGATGTGCTGCTGCATTGAACAAATCCGATACAGTTGTGATAATGTGCAAGTCACTCATTTGTATTGACCAGTTCAGGTAATACGTGACTAGGCCCAAAGTCCAAGTAAAGTCAAATAATATGGCCTCTGTAAAATATTAACCATTTTGACCATAATCCAGGCTCTCTATTTTAATTTCATATCATAAAAGGGCAAGAGGAATGGGGAATTCACCGGCTGAAAACTATCGAAGCAGAGTATTTGAGGATTTGCAAGAAACGCAGGGCTTCGAAGAAATTGAATGACATGCAAAACGGTTATAGGACATACATTTTTCTGGAACGAGACTAGTACTATGTACGTGTCAATGACTGCTTTGCTTTACATGCTATAAATAGTCCCGCAAAGTAATTTCCTGTAGATTATTAGAAACATGAATTCTACATTCTATTATCTATTATCCCTAATTGTTTCCAGTATCTAGCCTTGCCAAAGTAGATGTCTTTTTGACATCATTGAAAATCAAGATAAGTAAAAGAAATACCGACTTAGGCAATGCTATGCGTGTCTTCTCATCCATTCTCAACAAGTGTTAAATATGACGAAACTGCTTTTCCCAATGTTTTTTTGTTGTTTTTTTGTTTTTTATTACTTTTTTATTCATAGAAAACATTTGAAAGCAGTTACATTAACATATACAATATTCATAATATCATAGAAATCACACAATTTTCCATCATATTCTTTTTTAAGGCATCTAACCACACTAGTCCAATCTAGTACCCATAATTTCCCACCTTTTTTCTCTGCCTATTTGCTTATCAATATTACAATAAGATATAACATTTGCTTTAAATCCTTTAAAGGTAGGTCTTAACATCGAGTATTTGCATAGGTACACATATCTTTTAAATATACTCTTCATATTTGTCAGGATAATTGTTCTGTCATTTATACATACTGGTCCTATTAAAATATTCTGTTTTGTACAAAGTCCTGTCAATTCCTCTGGTAATCAGTTTGTAATGACTACTATCAGTTCCATTATCACTTTACAGTCATAGAGGAGATGACAGATTGACTCTGGTTCTACTTTACAAAAGGTACACAGATCTGATTCTGCTAATCCACACATTTTCAAGTATGTGTTGGTGGCCAAAAATCTATGAAGAATTTTAAAATTGAAATTGCTGACTTTATTGATTCTATTGATCATTTTCCAATCTTCTTTGTTAAGTAACAGATTCAGATCTTTGTTCCAACCAGTGATGTACTTTATGTTTGTCTCTTCAATTTTTATAAATTCCCAATATATAATTTTGCTTATCTTACTTTGGCCCAAGAACTTTTTTATGGTTGTTTTTGTCTTTCAAAGTTATTTAAACTATCACCGTTTTTCTTAATATCGCTCAACCACTGATTAGGAATTGTATTTCCGAGACTCAAATAATCAAGATAGTTAATGTTTGTACTTTTCATTGAATTCCTCTTGATTCAGAATTCTATTTGACTTATGAAACATATCTTGTAGTACAATTGTCTCTCCATTGACTCTTACATTCTTCAATATTTTTTGGACAGTTTGGTTCTTTGTAAGCTTTGCCCAAGTGTTGCAAATAGCAAGTTCAGCACTCAATTTTGAATCATTCTGAAACGGTTGCTTGATAAGGCTTTTCATGTTTTTAACTTCCAAACAATGCTAACGTCGTGTGAATAGAACAGCATTATAGAAACCTGTTATTGGAACAAGGTATAGAATCTAGATTGATATCTGTCACTGAAAACTAGTACACTATAGTCTGTCGTATGACGATATTTGAAATAACGAGTTCTGATTGGTTAAACGGGTTTTGGTACAACTGAATTGTATATGTGAGTTGTACAAGGTTGAGTTCGTCAGTTGACCAGAGGGCAGGATACGATGAAGACTGTGATTGTGGCTTCTTGTTTGATGTTTGGATTTTGGACCATGCTTTGTTGAGTATTGGATATTGGTACTAGGTTTGATATACGGAAGTACATTAGGTATAGTACAACAAGGTACGCCTTTGACTTTATCACTACTAGTAGTTTGGGATCAAATACTTGATGTTAGATGTATTACGATAACGGAAGTTAGGGCGTGGCATAGCCCTCTGGCGCTCCGGGGTCGGATCTCGTTATTAGCATTTCCATTTTATCTCTTATTGTTTGTGGCTTGTTTTATATTACTGTATGCATGTATTGTTATATGTTGTAAATAAATATTTGATGTTGTAAACCGTGTTGATTTTATTCGATTGTTATCCTTGTAAATACCCTCTGTCCTTTGTTCTTTTTGCTTAGCTGTATCTTCAGTACCATCATTACCCCCTAGTAAGGTCGCATTACAATTCTTTGCCTCTTTCTCTTTTTGTTCAGTGTATATTCTAAAAGTGTAGACAAGATCTTTCCAGAATGTATTTGAAACATTTTCTTCTATTTTCTTTAAGGATTTGGAATCATATGCAAAGAGTTCACGTTTTGAGTTTACATTTAAAATATTAAGTGCAATGTCTTGCCATGTGCCAGATTTCTGAAGTTTTTGCAACCATGTCAATTTGAGTGAATGTTCAAAGATCTTGGGATCAATCATTTTAAACCTCCGTCGTCAAAATCTTGTACAATTTGTGAAAAACTTACTTTTGCAACTGTTGAGTTCCAAATGAAAGAAGTAAATAATTGTTTGATTCTAGTTTGACAGGGGTTTGATAATTTTGGCAAGACAAGGAACAAATGTACTACCTTCGGCAACACAAAGGATTTGAGCACAGTAATTTTTCCTATTAAGGATAGATTTCTTGTTTTATACCTAATTATAACATTTTGCATTTCAGTAATTTTGTTTTCAAAGTTGAAAGATTCTACATCTTTTAAATCAGAAGATAGGTGTATTTCAAGAAGTTTGAAATTTGTTTCCCAATTAAGTGGAATATCTTGGCATAATATTTCTTTAGAACCTTGTTCACTACCTAACCAGATAGCTGAAGTTTTCTCTATATTCAACTTTAATCCCGACGTTTCATAAAACATATCAAAAATACATAGGCAGCGTCTTAGTGATTTTGCTGTACCATCTAAAAATACAAAAGTGTCATCTGCATACATTCCCATTTGAACTTCTTCATTATAAACTTTAATACCCTTAACGTCTTTGTCGTTTTTAAGTTCTGAACATAAAGGTTCCAGAGCTAGAATGAATGCATAGCAGGAAAGGGCATCTCCCTACCGACAGCCACGCTTTAATTTGAATTTCCCAATGTTGCTCATCAAAATATAGGCTATGTATCATGTGTATGCAGTTGTATGGTATAATCGATACACTTTTATCAAAAATTATGATATGGCCGTTAAATTAAATACTTATCACATGTGCACCATGTCGTGTTACTGCATGACCGAGAGTGACTGAAGGACATGGGGTATCAAAAATGACCTGTCACAGAAGTGATAATTGGACAAATAATTGTTTTTTCTTGTAAACAGTTGACATTACACTCGCTAAGCGGCTTTAATATGCATAAGTACAAGCATATTTTTGGGACAATTACTTTCAGAGAAAATGCCTGTCCTCAATATCCATGTATTATAAGTATTATGAGCTGAATGTCTTAGTATTTTGATTTAGGTAAAAGATGTTTAAACATCTCTAAAATCAAACTTAACGGAACGGAGAATGGGGTTTCTACGGCCTGATCTTATTTTTTAATCTTAATACAAAAGTTTTGAGGTTACCGCGTTTCGCATGTTACAAATCACTATCACAAAGAAAATGTCATTATTAAGTTAAAAATAAAATTTCCCCGAAAAAGGTTTCTAAAAGGTCACATTTGTTGTGTTAATTTCGTTGCAATGAAATGTTTATGGATTCAAATTTAGGGGGTTTAAAAGTTAGCATCATCCATGAAATATTCCTTTGACGTTTCCTTCATTCAGCTTAGATCCTGTAGTCTAGAACGTAATATAACGTCTGACATGTAATTTATTATGTTCATTGAAATTTTCATGATGAAATATATCTAAAGGCTAAAAGCTATCTTGGATCAAACAGCATGAACATCCAAAGATTCAATACACTAAATAGGAAAAAATCCCCTGGCATAGGAAGACAGAGTCCGATCGAGGCCATAGAGAATTAAATTGACGAAAATGGACCGCGGTATTAATCTCGGGATTTGTTTATTCATAGTTGGATTCGGGGTGAATCTGCCCTGTGTTGCAACAGTTACAAGCCCGGTTACAAGCTCACCTTGCAATTGTGAACAGCTTGCCATTAAAGTTGACCAAATGCAAACTAAGCTGATTGCGCAAGCTGAAGAAATAGTAGCCTTACATAAAAGTGTTATAAAAATCCTCGCTGCACAGTCAGATGAAACATGCGCTGAGAATTGCAAGGGAAAAGATGGAGCGCCGGGGCTACGCGGACCACGGGGGTTCAAAGGACCTAGAGGACCCAGGGGAAAAATCGGTATCCCTGGTATCAAAGGCATCCGAGGGGAAATTGGATTGAAGGGAAGTCAAGGGCAAATTGGGCCACAAGGAATCAATGGATCATTTGGACCACCAGGAGAAAAGGGGTCGATTGGACCACCAGGAATCAATGGATCATTTGGACCACAAGGAGAAAGGGGAGCAATTGGATCACCAGGAGAAAAGGGGTCGATTGGACCACCGGGAGTAAATGGGTCGATGGGACCACCAGGGGAATTGGGACCAATTGGGCCACCAGGAGTAAATGGGTCGATGGGACCACCAGGGGAAAGGGGACCAATTGGACCATCGGGAGTAAATGGGCCGATCGGACCACCAGGGGATAGGGGACCGATTGGACCATCGGGAGTAAATGGGTCGATGGGACCACCAGGGGACAGGGGACCAATTGGACAACCAGGAGTAAATGGGTTGTTAGGACAACAAGGGGAAAGGGGACCAATTGGACAACCTGGAATAAATGGGTCGATAGGGCCACCAGGGGAAAGGGGGCCAATTGGACAACCAGGTGTAAACGGGCTAAAAGGAGATATTGGTCCACAGGGGCAGAAGGGTGAAATCGGCCTACCAGGTTTAAATGGATCAATTGGTCCACAAGGCATACCAGGGGTAAAGGGAGCGATTGGCCCACAAGGCATACCAGGGGTAAAGGGAGCGATTGGCCCACAAGGCATACCAGGGGTAAGGGGAGCAATAGGCCCACAAGGCATACCAGGAGTAAAGGGAGCAATTGGCCCTCAAGGCTTACCCGGCTCAAAAGGACAAATGGGAGAAATTGGTCCACGAGGGCAAAAGGGAGAAATCGGTGCCCCGGGGGCAAAGGGAGCGATTGGCCCACAAGGCGTACCAGGCACACAAGGGCAAAGGGGAGAAATTGGAGTAACTGGCCCACAAGGGACACCCGGAATAAAGGGAGCAACTGGCCAACAAGGGACACCCGGAATGAAGGGAGCAACTGGCCCACAAGGGACACCCGGAATAAAGGGAGCAACTGGCCCACAAGGGTCACCCGGAATAAAGGGAGCAACTGGGCCACAAGGAACACCCGGAATAAAGGGAGCAACTGGCCCACAAGGGACATCCGGAATAAAGGGAGCAACTGGCCCACAAGGTCAAAAGGGAGCAATCGGTCTACGAGGGCAAAAGGGAGAAATCGGTGCACCAGGGGCAACGGGAACTAGTATCCGAGGACCAACGGGATATCCTGGAAGAACTGGAAGTAAAGGCGACAAGGGATCAATTGGTCTACGAGGACCAACAGGCAGTAGGGGAAGCACGGGTCTAAAGGGTCAGAAAGGCCAAAAAGGAATTGCAGGACCCACATATGGTGTGCATAATACTGTCTTTCAAGTTCATTTTCCTTATTGGACATTGATTCTCGACTTCCATTTAAACGTTGTTTATTCAGGTGTGAAAGAAATTATGGTCCCCCAGGGATTATGGTCCCCTTTCTTAACGGCCCTTACTGGCCCTGATTGCGTATAAGATTATGAGGGAAAGAGTTGTATTTAGGTCACCATATAAATCAATGGAGAGTAGGACCATAATTTGATAGGACCTCCTACCCTTTTACACCGGCGTTTTTGCTAAATCAAAATGCTCGAATAAACATTGTAGTGTAGTTGTAGTCATGTATGTAAGTTGTAATCGTGTTCTTACAATAGCGTTCTTGACGGGTCGGGCATTTTCTCATTGTCGTTCTACACTGGCGTTAAACGTTCTACACTGCTCCGTAACGTAAAGATCATGGTACATGTATATCTATTGAGGTTTGCTGAATTCTTTAGATCATTTATTTGGTATACTTTTCAAGCACGAATGATGCGAGTGCAGGACTCCTTATAGACTTCCACCAACGCGAACATCAGTTCTGACCTCGCGAACTACAGTCAATCTCAAACAACACTGTACAACGTTGTTTCAGAAACGGTACCGTACAGTGTTGTTTAAACAGTGTTGTACAACGCTGTGGCTATGTCTGTGAATCGAAATATCATTCATGTTTGTAGGCAATGGTCGGACTGCTCGCTTGGTTCCAACATCTGGAAGACTTGAAGTATTTTATTCTGGTCGGTGGGGTTCCGTGTGTGACGATGGCTTTTCTCTTAACGATGCAAAGGTTGCCTGTAAACACTTAGGTAAGATCGTGAGATATGCTAGCAAGTGTAATCATTTTATCATTTGACTATATATTACTCACAATTTAAACTCTTACTTTGATGAAAATAGTAAAACTTTTAAATAATACGTTTCGTTTTGTTTTGGACCATTACACTTAGATTCAGTATGGATCTTATTATTAGTTATTTATTGTTTTAGTAATTTATTTATTTATTTTCGTCTCACAGCAGATTTATTTTACAAATACTAGTAGGACTAAAATGTCATAAAAACACTGCCCCAGCCAGTCTAGTCTTAAAAAATATAGAAGATTCCTAGCTAGCGTTTACACAAGATGAGGGAAACCTAAAGAGCTTTGGAGATGACAGACAAAATTACGTTTCTTGTTTACCACCTTCGTTTGTCAGAATTTTCAACGGCGAGTTTACGAATACGAGAATTTTGAAACCGCCATTGAAAGACGTAATTTGTCTGTCGATTTGACGAATCAGCGACGATTGTTACGCGGTAAACACGATACGAATATATGCCATTTTCCGCAACGAATATGGCATATTCACCTACGGTGTATGTCAGATTCACCTGCGGTATATGCCATACACACTAACCAAGGAGAGCGCGATACGGAAGTACGCAATTGTCAATTACATCGATTCAACGAACGTGCTAAAGTCTATAAATTATTATTATGATTACTGAATCAACATCTGAGTGCAGTGAGTATATCAACTAATACAATTATATAACATACACCAGTATGGTACCTGTGTTGTTTGATTTTGCTTTGTATATGTGTTTCACGCAAAACACACTTCAGGGGAAATATTAAGACACATAAATAAACGAACCTATGTTCGTGAAGCTTATAGTTGAATTTTATAACCAAATCAATTCGAGGCTTTCTGATTCGTGTTTTCATCTGCGCGGTATATGGCATATTCCGCAGTTGAATATGTCATATTCCACAGGAGAGTATGACATATTCCGCAGTGAGTGTCTGATATTCACTGAAATCAATGTATTGCATATTCAATGCGGAATATGCCATATACCGCAGGTGATTTTGGCATATTCACCCGGATCACAAATACCGCACAACCATGAATATATGCCATACTCCGCGTAACAACGATGTATTCTTAATACAGACACTATAGGCATCCCCAGTGGTAATTTATCCCCCCTCTCCGCTTACACGGTGGTTTATACAGTTTAAGATTTAATAAGCTCTGGTTTCTTGGGATTGAATCCATATCATAAATTTCAGGTTTGGCATATTCTACGCCAAAGTACAGAACGGTTAAGGGTGGTACAGGCGATATATTGTTAGATGATTTGGCTTGTGGGGGGACTGAGACCTCTTTGTTCTCGTGTACTAGGGCTGGCACTGTGGGAACTCATAACTGCGGCCATCACGAAGATGTTGGTATAACTTGTGAATGAGACGTACTTCGCCTAATATCAAACGCCCAAGGAACACGTAGAAACATTATGTATTTGGACAGTGTACAAAGAAGACTTTAAAAGAATCAAAGCAATGAAAAGCATATAACCAAGTTGGGTCAATGATTCACTTATTCATCCAAGAGCGAATTTTATAATGGGGAGGTTAAGCTATACACTTTTAAGAGCAAGGGAATAGCTCTCCCCACTGTAGTATTAACTTACTTGACTTGCCTTGTATTCGCGAATGTAACTAACGCCTGTCGGCTATCGGATTAACATACTATTTTATGGCCAACTTATTTAGATATGAATGGCATAGTGGCAGGTACTATTCATATTCAAAATAGTAGATTAATCCGATAACCGACGGGCGTTAGTTGCATTTGCGAATGCAAGCTGGTATAAAACTAAAAAGAAAGTAGTAAGCAAATACTAGAGTATTTCATTCTACCTGTTCATATTTCAATGACTTTTGCAGTATGTATTGCCAGCAGCCCGTAGGGCGAGGGAAATACATGCTGCAAAAATCATTTAAAGCGCAACTGGTATTGGCCGAACATAGAATGAAATATTTGTTTTATTATATCATTGCTAGACATTTTCTAACACTTATAAGCTAACACAATTACGTACTAGTATAGTACCATTGTAAAGTTCACTTTTATTTTCGTCCAGTGCAGTTGTCAGAATTTCCAGACGGGCAATACGCTGGGCAATACGTCTTTATAATCCAATAATTGAGGGAGAAGTGAAATACGCTATGGTATATTTGATCACTTGGTACTGAATCAGCCAATCAAATCACATGATTTCTAGCAATGATATGATAATTGTAATTATCTCACCGAACGAAGTTGGTAGGGATATAGAGAAGCCATCCGTCTATTCGTCTATTCTTCCATCCGTCCGTCCGTGAGTATGTCTGGGCTCAAAGAACCGGTCAGCCGGTTGACGGTTTTTGTCCAAAGGGCGGGGAGTTGTTTGTAGAATGAATCGGGGGAGTTTTTTCATGCATTTTGGTTTATATCACAACCCAATAAGATGTGTATTAAAGATTTACTTTCCTGTTATCTCAAAATCTGCTTGGAACTATAGCATTGGATTACTATGGGAAATTCCTCCAAGAGAAAAATCTAGGGATTAAAGAAGGTGTCAGCATCAAAGAATTTGAGAAATTATTGGCATACATGAAACCTATTTAAAAGAGGTTATATATTATTCAAAAAGGGTTTATTATCAATGATTTTAAGATGGCAGGTGAATTTCAAAAAGGTTGCCATCTTTGTAAAATAAACAAATACCAGTGGACGAATTTGGATACTTAGGGACAAGGAGCTCTGTTCAAGAAGAAATTTCCAAGATGGTGGCTTTTTATCAAAACATGTTTTGCTCGATGGGATTTGCTACTCCGTGGAGTTGCTGTTTCTAGGTACCTCAGTCACATTTGATCTACGGCAACCAAACGGCGAGCGTAGCTTGCCAAAAATAGAGAAAAATACGCAGCATTAAGCAGTGCGTGTAGATTTTTCATATCGATTTTAGCTACGGCCGTCGTTTGCCCGCCGTAGAGCGAATGCGACTAAGGCTTTAGACATGCATATGTAGCTACTGGTCGAATCATTGTTGATAATATTCATAATTTCATGCTTTTTTCAGTATAACTATCACAGTTACTCTTTAACTCGCTAGTAAAGGGTAACACGGCGTTCTGATTGGTCAGAACGTAGCAATGCATGTCAAGCTACGTGCGAATGTATATATACCAATAAATTAGTATTCAGATACGTACTTGTAGTATGTTATACTTGAAACTTGTATTGTAGGACATCTATGATATTCCATCTCCAAGGGTGGCCAAGGATCATAAACATCCTTGTCAACTGTAAGACCCCTTCTGAACTACGTGTTAAAGGAATCCAACACCTTGCAAAACTTCTTAACGGAGAGGAATAAGGGAAAATGCTTGCCGGATTCTGAATCTGTGTATTTTTTAATGATTTTTCACCGTCTTAGAATTTCAATTTTTTTCCTTTGAAAAAATGAAATTTGCATTGTTTTCCAATTAGACAAATGAGTAAACATGAATAGCCCGAAATCTAACGGTGAGATTTTGTTTTAAAAAATCATGGATATCAAGGCTAAATATAGCTATACAATAAACATAAAAAAGCAATGCTTGGACTCTTCATATTCACACAAAAAATTAATTAGTAAATGAGGTTTGATATTTGTGAGAATAAGTTGTACGAGTCGCAATGCTCTACAAACACCAGACTACAGGGTGGATTAGGATCAATGACACACATAAAAATTGATTTAAAAACATTTCATGATAATTATCTCAAACAAAAGCAGTTAGCGAAGGATACATTTCATTACACTCAATAAATAGTTATCACTTTTGACTATATATACATATCTCATGGGAATGTATTTCCATCTGCTCAAGATATCATATTTTAGCTTCGAAAATCACAATCGTTGGATAATACATTTGTCTCAGAATGATAGGCCACCCTGTAGCAATGTAGCTTTCACTTGAAGTGTACCCTAGAGAATAATGAACTTACTTTCAAATTGGTCTTGCTTTTGTGGTGTATGTGGCTTTTTAGCAAATCTGCCACGCTCATTTCTTTCCAGAACCATCTTGTTCACATGTAACACTAGGCTATACGCGCATGTATAGACAGATGACATAGATATACATATAAATTATATATTGCACCTGTATTTACTTACATGGGAATATTCCCTTTGGAAAAATGCAAATGCATGAACATATATTTTCATCTTATATATGACTTCAAGCTAACATATTATTTCATATTTATATTTTCATAGTTAGTCTAACATAAATAATAGATCCATGAGAACAATATTCTTTGTTTTCTTAAAAATTGATGGGTTTACTGTGAATTCAATAAATTACAATTTGCAAGGGGTAAGTATACTGTATGACCTTAGTTGCAAAGTACTGTTTATATATGCAACTCAATAGCATAAAATATGTTGAATGAAGCATATGATGGGGATTAGTCGTGTGACACACAAACTGACCAATACATGAGGGTATTAGCTACTTTTCACAGAAACCAAAGGAGGACAGTGCTTTTATTTCAACTGGGAGCTTACCTCCACACGACTGATCATGTGACCATGGTGTTGGGTCCCTTTAAGCATGTTTATGTAAAGGAACAAAATAAAGATTATAACATCATTAGGTTTAACACCTTATTAAAAGAGTCCCTCTGTTGCCAAAGGAAAATCATCCCGCACACACTACACCGGTGATCCGCTCGATCGATTACGCTGATTACAGAAACGGTTCGTTTCGGTAACAAAATGTCGGAACGTCGAAGGTACGATTTTTCTTTTTTCCCTTTTTCAAAACGACGTTTTTTCTCACAAACGTGTATCAGTATCATATGTTTTAGAAGATGTACATGTTAGCGAAAAATAGCTCAGAAGACAACAGAATCGTCGATTTAATTCCTCACTTAAGTTACAGAAACGTTTTGGGTTAAAAGTACAGATCTTAACTGTTTTTCTAAATCACTGGTGATCCACTCGATTACGCTGGTTACCGAAACGGAACTGTTTTGGTAACAAAATGTCGGAACGTCGAAGGTACGATTTTTCTTTTTTCCTTATTTCACGCGTTGTAAGCAGAATCCCCACGACATTTTTTCACACAAACGTGTATCAGTATTATATGTTTTAGAAAATGTACATGTTTGCGAAAAAATAGCTCAGAAGACAACAGAATCGTCGATTTAATTCCTCACTTAAGTTACAGAAACGGTTTGGGTTAAAAGTGCAGATCTTAACTGTTTTTCGAAATACCGTTTCTGTAACGTAAGTGAATTTTGGAAAATCCCCATTGGCTGCCATTGTAAACCGCTAGCAATATGGCTTTACTAAAGTGTCATTTTCTCAAAAAATTCCACTATGGAATTTTCTTATATTGAAGATTTCTATTATTAAAATATTGGTTTTAAACATACATTTCTGAAAATTTCTTATTTTTAAAAACTATAAAAAACTATATTGAGCCCCATGTTAATTTATCAATCTTCAGAAGACCCCTGCAGAACAGTTCAAAGGTGATAAAGCCCATATTCCTAAGATGTTACAATAACATGACTACCTTAAAAATAAGGAGGGTTAATTTTTTTCTTTTACCAAGTTCCAAAGATATTGACGTTTGAATTTTGGAAAATCCCCACGTTGAGTCAATGCAATCTTGCTAAAATCCTCATTTTCTCAGAAGAACTCAAGTTGATCGAGTCTCAACAAGAAGATTCATGGTTATGTATATTGTGAATTAACTAATTGAAAATGTGAGTAATTTATACAAAGTCAGTAGAGTATGTGCGGAGGCTGTCCACTAGAGACAGGTGTTCACTAAGACAGATTTTACTGTACGCAATTATGTTATGTTATGTTCTGACAAAAACAATAACGATGTTAACAAATATGTTGACAAGTGATGTTTATTATTACCTTATCTAATCAGCATATATCGATGTATACAGACATCACAATTCAATTCATAATTAATCTCTGTGATGCTTTGTCTTTTACAAATCACCCTTGAATTGTTGAGATTAGAACTTAAGTTAAGATGATTTGTAGAAGCATTTAGTATGTTCTTGATGACAAATAGCTGCTGCGATCATCTCATTTATCAAGTTTTCACATCAGACTTTTGTATTATAACTATCACTGGGATGAGCATTATGGCTTTGTTTAAATCCAGTGCAATCTTTCATCAAAAGTGATGCTGTGGTTGGTACAACTAAATTTGAAGTACAGTGTACTTCATGGAGGGTCAAAAGTAATATTATAGTGCAGTGATTTCCCCAGGATTTTTCCTCAGATGGATGCAAAATTCTCAATTTCACAATTCAGACCAAAATTGGTCAAAATATGCCAATTTTTAATGAATTTTTCTGGAAAGGTATGAAAAACTATTTGATGAGCTCATACAAATTTCAGAAACATTTCACTTTCATTTGCATTATCTGACACTCAGATATGCGCATCATTAAAGGACCCATGAAACCTTAAACCACTTTAGCATATAATTGCAATGTTTCACATCACTATTTCTGTCAGTCTGTTACAAAGTTGAATTCATTCTCATATTCTTATTGTCTTCAAAACACCTCAAAACAATACATGTAAATAGATAGTAACTCAATAATATGTTAATCTTTGTGTTTAGGCAAATCATGGATCCTTTCAGAAACACTAAAACTTATTCTGGCAATACAAAGAGCATTCCCCATCCACAACTTTTCCTGTATTTTTACTTCTTGGTTTGCTGATCCATGGGCCTAGATCAGGTTAAGGAATCCCTGTCAGTGTCTCCAGGGAACGTTACCTATACACAAATTTGTTTTTGCATTTGAAACAGATTTTTGAGCAGTTTGACATCTATAAAAGCATGATAGGCAATATGCACCTACATACAATGAAATTGAGTCAAAAGTGTTGCAATTACTCCTAAAAATATAAAATGACTGCTAATTTTGGTTTTCACCTATTCCTCTAGATACCTATCCATGCTAGTATTTAATAGTTAGCCCATTCAATGATATTGATGATTGAGATAATATTGATCTTATACATATGACTGCCATCTAATGAATAGTTATATTATAACATTTAAAATCATGTTTCCACTCTTCAAACTAAGATTACATTCTTAATCACACTAGTATATGTTAATCCAAACATCTCTCTAATCCAAACACCTCTCATGTCTCAATATGAACGCTTTTTTCATAAGTCCAAATTTTGCTAGAAAACCTTCGGGCTTGTAATGTAAACATCTCCAAATTCTCCTTTTAGTGCTTTGGCAGATCCTAGCGGAGTTTGGATTACACATGTTCGACTATATGTTTTAATTGTTCAATTCCTCATCTAGACTACGTCTGTAATCATAATGTTTACTATCCTCTGACATTAACGTGATAGTCTGTTTCTGTTGAAATGATGCTATAGTGGTTCCAATTACTACCTGTAGGCCAAGCAGGCCCATCAGGTACACTCCTTTATTTTTCATCATATCCTTTACTATATTAAAAAACTTGCCAGGTTTGTTCCAAGGGGGCAGGTTATAAGTGTCGTGAATTTTGGCAGCAGCGGCGCAAGTTAAGGGTGCAAACATGAGTGGCTGGACAAATCCGGTTATTGTTTGCACCGAACTAGATCTGGCCTGCGAGCATATGAGGCAGTCGAAACGATCCGTTAATATTTCACCTGTGATTAAGACTTCATGCATGATTGCTGAGAAGAACATAGGTAATATGATTGTTGGCATATATGTTGCCATACGGCCATATACCATCAAGTTAAATTGCTTCCTGAAGAATGTGTTCAGGCTGACTCCACTTACTGCAGCACCTAGTGAACAAATGCCCGACCCATACCGCAATGACCATCTGGAAATAGAAAATATAGTTTATGTTATGAGAGGTCCCTATACCATGTGAACAAACAACAACCACCTGGAAAAAGGGAATATACAAGGTAGGCCAATAAAAATTGGAACGTTTTTCTATTTATTCAATTTTCTTTATTATTGCAGTTCTACCAAGAAAAATTCAGATAATGGTAAAATGATTATTAAATAATTTGTAAAAATGTATACGATGAAAATATGTACATGTATGTATAATTATTTTTTGGCTTGTAATGGTCATGATCTGTATACTCAATTTCCAAATTTTTACTGCTTGTCAGACATCACAGCTGAAAATACAGTATCTTTCATACCATACAATCTGTACCCTTTCAATGGTCTCAAATTTCCTTCAATTAAATCATATGAGCCTGGCCATAGGAAAACCGGTCTTACAACAAAAAATTAAAACTGTGCTACAGACAGACAGAGCCAAAAAAAATTAAGAGGAAAATGTGCTAAATTCAAATCCAACTTTTTTGGTCTCTTTATGGAAGGAAAAATTGTTAAGACAATAGCCAAAGGTCTCTAGAAAGGTCTCTTTTCCTGTGGCCTGGCTCATATGTGGCCTGTATGTATCTCTAGGAGAAACTAGTCTCCCTTGGATAATATATAGTTTATCTGACCTCATTTTTTTCAAAACTGGCACAATATCTCAAAACCTATCATTTAAGCCACGCATGACTGTGAAATACAGCTAAGACTGATTGTTCAGGTAGGTGGAAGACATATTCAGGAAACCTTTGCATTGAGTAATTAAATGTATTGTAGAGCGTGTATATTCATATTTGCACAAGCTGTTTCCTTAAGTACTAAAGATAATACATATGACTATCAAAAAAGTTACAATGGATAGAAAAATGTTCCAATTTTTTTGGCCCACATATCCATGTTTAGAGCTTAATATATAGAACCGAGGTAGTGAACCATAAAGGAAACATATTTTATCATAATAATGTAACACTAATATGATCAAAGCCTTTATATTTCTTCCCAGAGTTTTCTAATACAACTAGAGGAATAGTTATTAGAAAGAGGGTTGAGAATTGAAGTAATAACTATCGCGTGACACAAAATGATGACACCCACCCACATAACGTTTCATAACTTTTTTCTGAAAAAATTCTGACTTTTTTGCGCATTAAAACTACACTCCATTGTACAACTCTACAAGAAGTTTCAGATGACTAGCTCATGTAGATGTACATTTATGAGTGTTACAAAATGTGTTGTCTATTCCTTTGCTGTGATCTTACACAAAAAATGCCACCCAACTTTATGTAACATAATTTTGGAAATAAGTTAGAATGATTTTATCAACAGCAACTAGATTGTTTTGTGTTTAATTGAATGGACTTCATTTCCCTGAAAGTTCAAGCCAAAATCGTTAGTTTTTACAAAGTTATGTTACAAAAGGAATTCAAAGGAATGGATGACATCTAGAGCAAATGTTGTAATGCTCATAAAATTTGAACCACTTGACAAGTTATGAAACGTAAGGAGGGTGTCATTTTTTGTGTCAGCCTGTATGTCAAGGCATCAACATGCAAAATGTCACCACCTGCCATTTGTTACAGATGCCAAACATCGACCACCAACTGCCAAACTCCGAATGCCAAACACAAAAAAAGTTTAGAGACTACAACACCACTTTTGGCGGGGACATAAAAATCACTTACACATCCGATTGAGGAATCCAGTTTCTCATCTTCTGATGTTGTAAATACAGGACTTCCTCTTTAGACAGTCTTATAGCCCCTCGTGGTAATGTCATCATGTTAGGAGCTCGGGTCAAGTAACCTTGCTTCTCATCAAACACTCTCCCACTCTCACGTGAAACAGACATCCTAACTTTGTAGTCGAGATTTTATTCAAAATCAGTCTGCAAAAGATATTTCACTGTATATTGGCATTGGCCAATAGTCGAATACCTTTTGGTACGGTTATCATGTGAGCAGAATAGAAGCATGTGTCATATAAGTTGTAACCTTGGCACAAAGCAGATCCTTAAATGCACATGGTACGATAAGGTTGTGTTGGTAAATGTTGATGTCCTAAGTTCTGATGGGCACAGAAGCAGCTGATAACTTACAGACTTTGCAAATGGAGGATGGAGATAGAAACATTTGGAGATTATTTGTATTGTTGTTGATCGGACAGAAAGAAAAGCTGATGTAGTTACATTGGAGTTCGTTGAATATTTGGAAGGCACGTGAGGGGCCCATTCATTAGGTAACACTCATATGTCGAAGTTAAGTTTTTGCCTTTTTTAAAACATAACAAGGAGTAGAGAAGAGATTTGGATGTTTACGAAGTGAGCCTGTATTTTTTACATTAGGACCTATATAGAGATTGGGGGGGGGGGGATTTCTTCTTCCTAGGCCTGTGGTCAGAAGAAGTGAGTAACTCCCATAATTCTTTCATATTCTATCGTATTCGGGGATTCCCCATTATGTCATCTCCCGCATCATCTCCAGTTAAAATGTATGTTTGGAATTTAAGCCAATCAAATTATTCATTCTAATGAGCATGAACTAAATTCTGAACCAAGAGGAACTGGCGCAAATTGCCTAAACTGAAATCGCTCTTCAAAAGCTCTTCAAAATAGATTGGTGAATAAAAATGAATAACAACTGAAGTTAGAGTGGTTTATTAAGTTCGATGTCAGGATATTTCAAGTAAGTATTGATTATATAGACGCTACAATGATGGTGTTTTGTTCTAGACACGCGGGGCAAGTTGTTTTAGCTCATTTTCGCCTCAAACGAAATCGTATTTTGAACACAATTTTACTTCCGGGCTTAGTCACGACAGTTTGCTATTGGCAACATATATAACACTGTCATTGTCGACAACGGAATCTCACTGTCGTTCAGGCACTACCCCCCCCCTGGCCTGTTGTAAAACTTTTATTTTTGCCAAGGCCAGAAAATTAAAAAAACTCAACTCAAGGTCACGTACATTTAGGTGATTTACTCGCTGTTTATAAGATACATAAACTTTTGAAATTTCGAAATCCATTGAAATGCAAAGGCTCTATATTTTAAGTTCTATAATATCGATGTTTGTCCTTACCGTTGTGTTATTATTCCGAATTTTATTCGCATTATTTAAATTTTTCACGTGCAGACGAAGGCTGACATCTTGGATTTTATGCGCATGCGCAATAAAGTACCTAGTTTTACCCCCCTTTTCAATCTGTTTCACCTCTCAAAAACTCACAAAAATTTCCTGTGGAGATCTATTCCTCAGTTCTGAGATTATATTATAATATGTACTTAAACACAAAGCTCTAAAATGGTTAATATTGTAAAACATTTTAAGATGAGTCACGTGATCAAGCTCGATCAGCCATATTGGATTGATATTCAAAATTCTATCGGATTTGGATAAATAATTTGATGTACTGAGCGAACTGGCCTCAGATTCGCTGTAAAACCTTCACCATACGTTCCATCAAGTAGATCTCTACTGTGTGGTTGGATTTTACACCAATCGCTAGCTCCAACTTGGAGAAATCGACCCCCAAATCCCAGGGTGTGAAAACCAACAGCTTCAAAATTGCAGGAAAAATGCCAGTTCGTAAACAAGGTGGTAAGAATACATATTAGAGCAGCTAACCCCTGCACACCTTCTAACCAATCTAATATTTGATATTCCAATGCATTCATGCTGTTTTAACACTTAGATTTATAGTCACAGCCTTGTGACAGGTATTGATTTTTACCTGTATTTTCAAAATATTGACCTATTTTTGGTTTGAGGTCATTTCCTGGTTGTTGTTGTTTTGATATTTGATGTTGTTTGATGCATTGTCATTGATTGGATTGCATTTTGTAGATGTATGTATTATCCACATTTTCGAAATGAATGTCATTTGGTTATTTCACAGTAGAACTCATCAGTAGATCTGTACATGAACACTGGGACGTACATTAGACTATATCCTATTTAGTCTGAATTATATTCAGACTATAAGGTACCTATGTTAAAGTTTGGTAATTTTTAATATTTGTTTACATAGGAAGTGCTATTCAAAATGGCCGATTTGGTAAAATTAATTTGCACATTTTCACATCAACTAGCTTTATTTCCACTTGACAATAAGCTGTGTTACTTTTTATTGCATTTAATTGTACCTTACTACTTATTTGTAATTTTGTAATGCTTATTTTATTGAAGAAATGGTTCCTCTAATTGATAATTTTGTGCAAAAAATTTCACTGCAATTTCCACAGGAAAGTAGTACATCATAACAGACTGACTTCTAGTCAGTCTGTTGGATACATACTAGGACGTACATGAACATCTGATGATGATCTTTGATTGAGTAATTCACGTTATAGCTATACTGGGGACCTTTGTGGCACCTGAATTACTATATCTAGTCTTTTTTCTGTGATTGAGATGTCTGGGTTTTGATGTTTAACAAGGAAGCCTGGAAGTCTGTATATCAAGTGAAGATGGATTGACTTTTTAACATTATAAGAATTTTCTTAGGTCTTCAATACATCTAACTGACATAAGACCTCTAACAGAATTCCTTATTAAATTTAGTTAAATGTTTTTCATAATTTCACCCATTTATATAACATAAACTATATGGTTCCTACCTTGGTATAGAATTCCCAACATTATTTGCTCAATATTAGTGAAAATACAGATTTCATGAAATTCTCTATTAACCATGTGCATGTTCTTATGCATGGGTCACATTTGCTCCGATCCATCAGCTGGCGCCCGGCCGATTGAGTATTATGTTCAGAACTGAATACAATTGTGAACAGGATACTCAATCGGCCGGGTGCCAGCCGATAAATCGGGGCAAATGTGACCCAGGCATCAATAAATAACAACAGTCTGTGCCTATTTCCACATGTAGCATGGTTTGAAATGGATAAAAACATTCTCATAACTCATAACTTACGTATCCATTCTCATTTCCTACCTTTACGTCCTTATTAATTTTGCATGTATCTGTCATATTTATTCTGTTTACTTTCGTGTTTAATGTTGTTCTCAATATATATGGTTCCTAGTTATTTAATCATTTTGGTCAAATGTTCTAATGATTAAGTTTTAAATACTATACAATAAAGTTTATTTGATTTGTCAATCGTTTATAATAGTACGATGCAATTCCTATACAGTGACCGCTTTCACTCGGTACAGAATGACTCCAAATTTACTGTTATAAAGTTTTCATGAAAAATAACAACCTCTGATCTCAATTATAGATGCCCATAGGGCATTGGAGCTACTGGAGGACTATCATGGTCGATTGAACAGTCAACAGGACAGGCCTCTGCGAACTGCTATTGAGCGTGTCATCCGTATCTTTAAGAGTAGACTATTCCAAGCCTTATTAGGTAAGTCTTTGTTAATTTACAAAATGTCCAAGAGCATTTGTTAGCTCACATGGTGTAAGTCATTGTAATCACCCACCTGGCAGGCTGTCTGTCTGTTTGTCTCTACGTTTGTCTGTCAACACATTGGCGGCTCATTTGTAATCCTCAATGATAATTCAAATGGGCTCACTTTTAAAATATGTCAAAAGTCTTCAGTCATTCATATAAAGTCTTCAGTCATTCAATACGCAGCATTTCAAAAGCTTGCCTTGTTTCAAAATACAATAGCCACTGATTTTATTGCCAAAAAATCACTTTCACTATATTAGCCCAGTATCCATGGTGCTATTTATTTGTTAATAACCCAAACTAACCACACATACCAGTTTTCTGCATGGGAAAAATGTAGAAATTCTGCATGAACAAGTCAATTTCTGCGCCAAATCCAGCATGAAATCCCGAATTTCTCGATAAATTCTGTAAGCAACTGCTCCACCCGAACTATCACAAAATTCCAGGGAATTCAAATTTTATGACATATTAGATATAATCTTGAAGTGCAAAAGGCTGACATGAGAATTTTAAACATCTTTCACATTTCTCCTTGGAAATCTTCACACCAGTTTCTGATGACAAGTGACTGTCTAAGGTGTCAAGGTGACACTAACATGAGATGAGGTAGTTGACTGGAAAAATCAAGTTTCCCAAGAAATTCCATGCAAAAAATTTGAAATCTGCAAAAATTTTGAAAACCAAAATTTTGTGGTTTTTCTGCGGCAATGTAGCATCATGGAATTCTAGTATGTGTGACCGACAGTTAGGTGCATTTTTTCATCAAAATTTCAGGCACATGAAAATGTCAAGGAGGCGAACACATCACCAATATATTCTTGCATTTATTTACTGGTCTTATGCTCTATAAGCTTCATATATCTCGTGAAGGTTTCACTCTTTGTGAGTTGTAAAAAGGTGTATTTAGTCAGCTATTGGTTAACTGGGTTCTCACCATGACATTTTTAGACTCTGGATTTTTAGCGGTATTGTGACTACTTTTTTCATGGTATCGCGACTACTTCTTCCCCATGTGAGATCAGAGATATCCTATCGTATACTTTTCAACATACTTCTTAAGATTATCTTGCTATTTTAATCCCGATATTTATTTCTAAAAGGTTTCTGACTTCCTATTCCTTGTTTGTATGTATTTTCTCAAGAGTTTTACCGCAAATAATGTGACAAAAATGTGAAATTTAGACTCCGGAAAAAACACTTTAGACTCCAGAAAGCTATTAAACTCTGGAGCAAGAGGTTTGAAGACATTAGACTCCGGAGAATCTCCGGAGTCTAAAAGCCTGAGAACCCTGGTTAACATTTTTGAAGACAAATGTGTGGGATGATAAGATAATCACTTGGCTACATAGAACAATGAAACATGCCGCACATATCTTTAAAAACCTATTTAATTAGATCCTTTAAGTTCATTGAGATTTATTGGGACCATTTTATTAAGTCAAATTCCCAGAGGGCACATCTTGATGTACATGGCCATGGCGGAATACATGTAATTCTGAGTGATGAACCAAAACCTATTGCAGCTTTATACAATCCCTTTCAACAAAATTTTTTTTTATGAGAACATTTACATCACTAATGAACAAGATCACAATCTCTGTAAATCAAACATCTCCAAGAGAGAAGGCATGATAGCAATGAAGGAATCGCTCGATATTTTGAAGGTATTATACCGTACAAATAAATTAACGATGCATAAATTCATAGCTACTTATTGGTGACTTGTGTCTAGTTATTACTTAATTGAAATCATGATCCAAAAGCTTTGGTCAGTCAATAATTTCAATTTGGAAAGTGTTCCCAAAACAATTCTTCTTTTGATTTATTAGGAACTAACCAGACCATAACATGTTGGGTTGATCAAACTACATAGTTTACATACCATACATCCAGAGAATCTTCCCGACTTTTTTTGGCACAAACGTGTGTCTGAAGATGTCTGACGAATTATTCCTTACTTTTATTATGCGAATGAAACATCAACGGTTAACATCAGGTTAAACAACGGTTAAAATAAAATGAACCCATGGAAATGGAACACCTCCCAAGTAGAACACTATTTCTATGTTCCAAAGACAATTCCATTTGTAAATATGGTTTTATGGTACTTGTGTTAGAGAAAACATGATCGAGATAGAACTTTGGAGGCCTCATTGGGAGTATTGACCATGTAGACTGACATTTTCTTAGGAGTTAATGAAATTCTAATGCTATTATAAGCTCTTGTCTTGTCTCAAACTTGCCTAGAGTGTGATATTTAATTTTTTCTCTATCAAGTTTCATTAGCAACTGATAGACTATGAGTACGGCAAACCAGTGGTATTCCCAGCATAGGAGCAAATTGGGTGCTGCACCAATTTGAAAATTGGAAAATTACATGCCACCCTGTTGAAAATTAGAATATCACATGCCACCCTGTTGAAAATTAGAATATCACATGTCACCCTGTTGGAAATTAGAATATCACATGCCAGTCTTTTGAAAATTAGAATATCACATGCCACCCTGTTGAAAATAAAAATATCACATGCCACCCTGTTGAAAATAAAAATATCACATGCCACCCTGTTGAAAATTAGAATATCACATGCCACCCTGTTGAAAATTAGAGTATCACAATCACATGCCACCCTTTTGAAAATTAGAATATCACATGCCCCCATGTTGAAAATTAGAATATCACATGCCACCCTGTTGAAAATAACAATATCACATGCCACCCTGTTGAAAATTAGAATATCACATGCCACCCTGTTGAAAATTAGAGTATCACAATCACATGCCACCCTTTTGAAAATTAGATTATCACATGCCCCCATGTTGAAAATTAGAATATCACATGCCACCCTGTTGAAAATTAAAATATCACATGCCACCCCACTGAAAATCTGTTTGCAGCCTGTTTAAGTCATGAATTATTGAAGTATTCTGACCAAAACTGTAAAAATTAGGATTTATTACCCCATTGGGAAAAACCTGGGGGATTAGTATAAATTCATGTTACTCTGAGAGCCAGAAGATCAATGAAGCTTTATGTGAAATAAGTTAAACCTGTATATAGTGAACACCTATGGAGCCACAAAAAAGTGTTCACTGTAGGTAGGTGTTCACTGCAGAGAGGTAATTTGAACACATGAATCGAATCAATGTAAAATGTGACTTGAGGTGTTCACCAAACACAGGTGTTCAAGCGAGAATGGTGTCCCTAAGACAGGTTTTACTGTATAAGAAAGGGTAGGACTCGTTATATCTGCTGATGCCGCCCGTAGGAATTGTTTGTCTTTGTTTTTATCAATCAAACAAATTATAATGAAAAATAGAAAATTGTCCTGAGATTTGATTTCATCGTATAAACTCTACAGCTCTTCAAAAATCTAATATTGAGATTGATTAATCTTAAGTTATCAGAATCAAAACTCTAATTTATTATTTATCTGTGAATGTCATTATGAGTGTCTAACTGTAATCTATGCTACTTTTGATTACAAAATCCCTGAAATAATATAGATTTTTTTATTGTGTGAAATCTCAATTCGGCACAAGGAATGATTCAATTGTTCAAAAATATAATTTTCAACTGGACACATAGTAATTTTCCATTTTTTTTATTTTAACTGGATACAAGTGCCGGCTTTCAACATGAGGGTATATTAGACATATGTTTGGACTTGTTAACTAAGTTGATTAGATTAAATTATCTTTTTATCTCTGAATCATTCCTTTTATCATTATTTAGTCATGGATCCCTTGCAAAATATCAACTCAATTTAAGATATTTGCTGTTGACATTGTTTCTGCAGTTGCAGGGGTTTCATTAGCAGCAGGCAACAGGCGATTTTCACTGGTTGTTTTCACAAAATCGCCTGTTGTTTTAAGGGACTTTTCAACTTTTTCATGTTAAAATGATTTCCACTAGTTTAGCCTGTTGTTTTCATTTAATTAGCCTGTTGTGTCATTCTAGTGAAACCCCGGAATTGTATTACAGATATTAGGAAAATATATCTATATAGTAAAACAAGTTTAATCAGAACGCCTCTTGGACTAGCCAAAACTGTTTGGATTTAAGCAGGTGTTCACTTATGTCACCACCACATACAGGTTCTTCTGTAGTTCTGAATTTGTTGCCTCAAAAGAGAGCTTAATATTCAAGACTAATACTCTGTGCAGACTACATACAGTAAAACTTGTTTACAGTGAACACCTATGGAGCCACTAAATTGTGTTCACTATAGGTAAGTGTTCACTGCAGAGAGGCAATCTTATACAGAACGCAGTGGAGTATGTATTGAGAAGAGGTGTTCACTAGACACAGGTGTTCACTAGAGAGAGGTGTTTACTAAGACAGGTTTTACTGTATATATATTACACTTAACAGATGATTTTAGTTTTGCTGCTTATGAGATGTCAACAATCCCAAACATATAATCTCAAATATATGTTTTACTGTCTTGATTTAAGAGTTTGATGGGCTTACTTCTAAACCCCTCTCCCTGAAGAAGATAGGGGGGTCCAGGGTCCAGCAAGACTGAGGGTTTGATTGTGAAATGAATATCAGATATTGAAAATACAGTACAGTATGAGACATATTGATGTTATTTGATGTATACTGTTTTAACGATTTTTGGTGCATGTGCCTGAGATTGGCTTATCATTCATCCATCTGTCCTTTTTTAACTAAAGAATGTAGATGGAAGTTGAGATTTTGCAGATGGGTTCTTTTTCTCTGATGGTCCCTTTAACATAAACTAGAACCTGCTAAGTGGAACACCTAGAGCTGTAAGTGGATGACCTCACATGTGGAACAGTGTTTTTAAGTCCCATGGCCTATCTACTCCATGTTAATGAACCTGTGTAAGTGGAACACCTCCCAAGTGGAACACTTTTTAGAGGTCCCAAGGGTGTTCCACTTACACAGGTTCTACTGGTTAGACAGTTAAACATGTCTAAGT